GCCCCATGAGGCCAGGGCACAGGGTGCCAAGACTAGTGAGACGGGTGCTGGGGGCTTCGCCTTCTGCCCGCACACACATCGGGGTCCTGGTCTGTGCACTTCCCGGTTTGCATCGTCCTTTGCGTCGGCACAGAGGCCCCGTAGGGCTGCCACTGCCCTTGTCCGCTGCCCCGTCCAGGCGCTGTGCTGTGCGTCGTGCTGGGCTCAGGGGTCTCCAGGGGTGCCACGCGTCAGCCCCTTCCTGGCTGGGGGCTTGGTTTCTCTTTCAGTTCAAGGCTCCAGGCAGTGGGAGGGTTTGAGCACAGGCCACCGGAGGGACTGGGGGGGACAGGAGGCTAGGGGGGTGGGGCCCGGAGGCACGCCCTGAGGTCCCGCCCGGCGAGCTGGGGGCTGCTCACATGACCACCGGAGAGTGTGGGAACAGAGTGGTTCCTCCTGAGCGTCCCTGGTGTGTGCCGGGGCTGCATTCGCGTCCAGGTGGAGACACGCGGCTCTGAGGGATGGAGGCGGGTGCTGGGGGAGGCCGGGCCCGGGTTCAGGCTCACGTCCCTCGGCCTCCCGGTCCCTGCGAGCTGGGGCCTGAGCTAAGGGAGCGCAGGGCAGTCTGCCTTCAGCTCCCTGTGTGACCCGGGCCTCAGTTTCCTTCTCTGCACCCTCAGAGGTTTGGACTAAGTGAAGTCTGGTCCCCTTCCGCCTTTTACTTTCGGAGATTCTCGGAGTAGAGGTGTGAAGTAGAAACGACCCCACTTTCCTAGCTGTGCGATCTTGGGTACTGGTCTTGGACTCGAGCTTCTGCCTCAGTAACACGGAGATGATGGCTGCGCCTAGAGCTTAGCGGGAGGCTTGTTTAAGTGAGGCCGTGCGCGTGAAGCTCCTGAGAAGGGTGGCGGCCCCCCCGTGTGCACTCGGTCTGTCGTAGCTGCTCTGTTAGTGTTCTTCCTCCTCCTCCGTCATGTCGGCCCTGCCTGCTGCGGAGGCTGCTGGGAACGTTGGAGCCCTCGGCGGGGCCGGCCTCGGAGACTGCTGTCGAAGGGTGTCTGCAGGTGGGGAGGTGAGACCACCCCGCGGGGGGTCCACCCTGTGTGATTGGGGCACAGCTGGGGCCAGGGCCGGGCCCTGACACTTTCTCCGGAGGTCCCCGGCATGGTGGCTGGCTCTCTGGGTCAGAGCCATACGTGATGAGGTCCCACGGCCAGGCGTCCAGGGAGGCCAGGGTCCTGAGACCCGGCCCCCTCGAAGGAGGCACACACCTGGTGTCAGCAGAGGCCTGGGAAAGAGATGGTGTGTGACACAGCTGACAGAGGAAGAGGAGGGACAGGGAGGGACAGGGGAATCGAGCTGCCTCTGAGCCTCTGTTTCCTCACCTGCAGAATGGGGACAGTCTGTGGGGGGAAGGTTAGGTGGTATTTTCTATTATACTTCTATTTTCAGGTATATGAATGCCTGACTAGGTGAACAGCACCTAGATGGTGACGAATAAATGTCCCTCCTCTCCCTTCTCTTACCCAACACTTGAAGAAAGAGAAGCTGGAATTTTTTTTTTTTTAATATTTTTATTTATTTCTAGGAGAGAGAGAGAGAGACAGCGTGAGCAGGGGAGGGTCAGAGAGAGAGGGAGACACAGACTCTGAAATAGGCTCCAGGCTCCAAGCTGGCAGTCAGCACAGAGCCCGACGCGGGGCTCGAACCCATGAACCGTGAGATCATGACCTAAGCGAAAGTTGGGCGCTTAACCGACTAAGCCACCCAGGTGCCCCGAGAAGCTGGAAGTTTTATGAGCCGCTGGGCCAGGGTGGGCAGTGTGGTTCTAAGCGATGCAGGCCGCCATCCCCCTGGCTGGAGTTATCTCTGTGCCCTGGACCTTCATTTTCCCCACCTGTAAAATGGGGAGAGGTTTCTCTGTAGCTTTTTAGTCTACCACGTGAACACCTGTGCTCGGCGGTGGGCCAGTGTGACAGCCGGGAGGGCAAAGGCTTCAAAGACTCGATATTGACCGACCCCTGACCCATAGCAGGTGTGTCCCTGTCTCAGTGGCGGTGGCTACTCCCTGGCCTCCCTCCTGCCCATCTTTGCCGATGCGGGTGCCTCCGCCTGAAACACTCTCCTGCTGACACCTTATTCCTATGGGCAGATCCAGGTCAGGGGAGTGGGGCGGGGGGGGGGGGGGGTTGGGGTGTTGGAGACCACGCCCTGGGACAGAGGTGTGGGCAGTTCAGAGGCCACAACTTAAAAAAAAAACTTGACCCATGTTTCGTTAAGCTGCATGTTCGCTCCTGGGCTGAGCAGCAGAGAACACGGGGTGCCTGGGGCCCCTTAAGAAGCACATCACGGGCGTCCTTCCACCCCCGTCAGGCAGAGCGGCTGAAGGGCAAAGCTTTTCTGCACCGTCAACGTTGGAGCCCGCAGAGCCAGGTTTTCCCACGGCGGCTGGGAGGTGGGGCGGTGCGGGCAGCGGATTTGGTCCATCATGCCAGCTGCCGTGGACACGCGGGGTCTTCTGGGAGCAGGCCCGCTGCCTGCCCACCCAGGCCTGCTTTGGAGATGAGAAGGCCCGCGAAGTCATGTGTGCAAGGGCACCCATGTCGGGGGACAGCTTAGAAACCCCAGTGAGGTGTGGGGCCGCTCCAGGCGCTGTGTGCAGCAATGTCAGGTGTCTGCCCTGCCCCAGACCTGCCGAGTCCCAGCAAGGTCCCCGTGTCATTCCTGTGCACATCACAGCATGGTTCTTGCTGCTCTGGAGCACGGGCCAGGCTTGAATCCCCTCCCTGCTGACCAGCTGTGTGACCTTAGACAAGTTCCCTCGCCTCTCTGAATTGCACCTCTTGCATCCACAGAATGGATGTGGGGAAGATTCTCCACCCGGGCAGGTTAATAGTAATTCACACGAAAGCCAACGAGCCGTGGAGGAGGCACTGAGCTCAGCGTGGGGGCGCAGATGGTGCCGGCCCATCCGTGGTGGGCGCTCCAGAGACCTGGCTTGTGATTCCTTTCTCTGGGTCAACTGGGGCAAATCCCTTTCCTTCTCTGGGCCTCATTTTCCCTCTCTGTGCAATGAGTCTGTTAACCCCTCTGGCACTTCCGTCCTCCAGAGGTTGCTGGAGAGAAAAGTGAGAGGGGCGGGGCCGCATCTCCAGAAGCTTGTCTGGGAAGTGGGTGTGCTGGGGTGAGGTGCCCCTGGGCGCCCACATCTGCACCCCTCGCTGCCCCCTTCTCTGATGCTCCTGCTGCAACGTGCAATAGCGAGGCCGGCTTGCAGAAGGCAGGGTGCGGCCCTTCCTCGCACCTGCTCTGCTAGTCTTGGAATTGAGTCCCCTGCCCCCCTCAGAGCCGCGTGGCCAGGAGAGATGATTCAGCTGGGACCCGTGTCCTGGGCCTTGTCCTCCCTTGAGAGGAGCTTCAGGATCCCCGTGCTGCCGGGCAGGCTGAGGGCAGCCTGTGAACCTCTCCCCACCTGGGATTCCTGTCTCCCTCGGGGACCCGGGGCTAGACTCCCGGCCTTGCCCCTGACATACCGGGTGACCTTGGACAAACTCCCTGTATGCCGTGGGCCTCGGATTCCTAATGTGTACGGGGTAAGGGGGGGCGTTCAGTGAGACGGTCTGGCCTGGGTTCGATCCTTCACTTCCTCTGTGCCCTCCCTCCCTGGCAGGAGCCCCAAGCCCCGGTCCCACTGCCCGCCAGGTTCTGGACCTGGCAGCCCCTGGCAGATCCAGGCCTGCCTGCCAACACCAGGGAGGGCTGGTAAGGGCCAGAGGGAGCAAGGGAGAAGGGGAGCGTGTGGGGGAGAGGAGGAATTTTCCTCTGTGTGTGCAAACAGTATCCGTTTTCTCTTGTTTCCAAAAGCCAGTGACGTAACCTACCCTTCCTCCATTCCTCCCCTCTGGCCTATTTTTAGCTGGCCCCGGACAGCATCCTAAAAGGCTTCCAGACTTGCCTGCTCTGAGGCCATGTAGGGAGGCGGCCCTAGGGTGAGGAAAGAGACAAGCGCATCGCCTGTCCCAGGAGGGAGGGAGGAGACCTCCCCGAGGCTTCCTCTGGGGAGGGAGGGGGCTGGGTGGGGAGCCCGCGTAGGGCTCCCATGGGTCCTACGTCTATGGGGGGCCTGGCAGTGTTGCAAGTACTCAGTCGGGAGCCTCCAGCCTGGGTCAGAGTCCTGGCTTCACCTGTCCTCACCCTGACCTTGGGCACCTGACTGCACCTTGCTTTCTCCGTCTGTAACATGGGGTAACGGTGCGCCTGTGCTGGAGGGTTGTTAAGAGGACCGCATCATGTCATGTAGGACCGTGCCTGGTACCGAGTGAGCACTCAGTTCAGGTGAGCTCAAGGATTGTCACGGTGACAACTAGTAACACCCTATTTGACCTCCAGTTAATGTTGGGGGGACACTGGGAGCCCCTGTGTGCCCTCTCTTCTTTCCCGTCTGGCTTTCACCAGCGTGTGGCCGAGTGAGACAAAACACAGAAAGCCCTGGAACAAGGCCTGTCACATAATATGCGCTGAATAAGTGAGAGCTATATTTATTGGTTTTGTTTTAATGTAATCAAGCAGACACGGGTTTGAGTTCCAGCCCCACCCACTAGCTAGCTGAGCGTCTCTGGGTAAGACATTTAAACTCTCTGGGCCTCAGTTTCCGTATCTGTGAGCTCAGGGTAATAGTGGTGTAGGAGATTTCTCTGCCGATGAAGGTTGCTGCGGGACCTGACTCTGAGATGGCGATGATGAGCACAATAAAAGTTTCTTTCTGGCGGGTGCAAAGAGCCCCTAGGGTGCTGGCTACGGCCCGGCTCCTGTGAAGCAATAGCAGGAACATTTGCACGGCACTTTATAGCGTGTGTGAAGGGGAGAGGGTGGTCCGCCTGGTATTATGGTTATGGGTCAACCTGGATGTCCCCCCCAATCTCTAGACTGGGAGCTCCTGGGTGGGTGCTGCATTGTGTCTGAGGGCTGGACTGGCCCGGGGAGGCCACCTTCTGACCGCCTGTCCTTCTTGGCTCTTGCAGATGGGAGGAAGAACTCGCCAAGCGCATGAACCTCCAGACCATGGTGGACACGCTGCAGGAGGTGAGCGCCCTCAGAGGTCCCGACCGGGAGAGGCTCGTGGGAACCATGTGGTCGAGGGGCACCGGCTTGGTGGGGCAAAGCCCGAGGCCATTCCTGGCTCAGCCCTTGCTCTGTGCTGCCTCCTGCTGCCTCGGGCTCTCTAGATGGAGGCACCAGGCCTATCCTTGTCCCCTTCTTCGGACCTAGGAAGGGACTGGCAGTGTTGCAGAAAAGCGTGGGGACAGGAGTCGGGAAGCCTGGGTCTAAGTCCCAGCACCGACTCCTGCTTGCTGGGTGACGTGGGTCCAGTAACTCTTCCCACGTTCTCCCCACCTGAACTCAGGATTGGATGGTCTCTCTGTCTCTTTTTTTTTTTAGTGCTTAGTTATTTATTTTGAGAGAGAGAGGGCACTAGTCAGGGAGGGACATAGAGGGATGGAGAGAGAGAATCCCAAGCAGGCTCAATGCTGTCAGCGCAGAGCCTGACATGGGGCTCGATCTCACAAAGAGTGAGATCATGACCTGAGCTGAAGTGGAGTCAGATGCTTAACCGACTGAGCCACCCAGGCACCCCAGGACTGGATGTCTTTTGAACTGCCCAGCCCCCAGCTTAAGGGAACTGACTTGGGGCGGAATGCCTTGGAGAGGGCGGGGGGTAGGGGGGCCGTGTCACCAGCTAAGAACATTCCCTTGCAGTTCTGGCTCTGTGTCTGTGGCTCTGCTTCTTACCCACCTGCTGGGTTCCCTGGGCAGCAAACTTCACCTTCTTGGCCTTTGAATAGCGACCGAAAGTTCTTTCAGACATTTTAAAAAATTGCTTTCTGATATTTAAAGCGCTGATCTGGTAAGAGAGAGAATAAGATAATGTCAAGAAGGAAAAGGATGGAATGTGTGCCCCCCGTTCTTTTATAACAGGAATCTTTTTGTTTACAAACATGGTCATGGTCACATATTTGGAAAATTCAGAGAAGTACAAGAAGAAAATGAAACTCCCCTCCAGCTCTTCCCCTGCATAGTTGATAAACTGCCATGCAGCCTTCTGGCCTTTTCTGTGCAAACACATGTGCCCTAGATGTATACATTTGATTAGGTTAATGCATATGACACCGCCATCTTTGAGATGCTGATGGTCACCACTGGCAATTTCACACGGACCGACCTCATCTTTTCACCTATTGGGATCATTTGTTATATTAACCTCCTCTTTTCTTCCTAATATCTGCCAATTTAAAATCTACCAATTTTTCCATACATTAACTATTTCTTTGAGAAGCATTTTAAGCTGAGTGGTGCCCTGCAGTGAGCTGGGCTCAGAGGGAAACCGGGCTGGCGTGAGGTCCTCGGCACCCGTTTCCTGGCTCGCAGGCGCCTGGCCCGGTTGGACATAAGGCGTCCAGGGCTGCAGACCCAGGCGCCCAGCCCCTCCGAGCCCTCAGGATGCCCCCTGAGCCCATCCCCGTCTCTGTCGTCCATAGGCGGCACAGGAGGCCGAAGCCATCCAGGAGGAGATGAACGAGAAGATCGAGCGGCTCAAGGCTGAGCTGGTGGTGTTTAAGGGGCTCATGAGTGACGTAAGTGCCGCTGGCCGCCATCGCAGGCGTCATGACACCCCCCACACACCCATCATGCAAAACGCTTTATTCACTCCGAGGCTCCAGAGCTCGGCTTCTAGTTAGAGTCCTGGCTGGCTGCGTTTGCCCCGTGAGGATGTCGGATGCATTGGAGACCAGCCCCCCCACCCCCCCGACTTCTGCTTCCCTTGGTCTGAGTAGAGATGCATTAATCTGCTGCTTAACCCATCCCGCCCTCCCCTGGGCTCCTCTGACGGTCTGTTTGTGTTTGCCCTGACGCGTCCCAGCTCCCCACGTTGAGGGCGGGTGGTGGCCGCGGGCCTCGCTGTCTGGTCCCAGCGGAGGGCCCAGTGGCTGGTTATGGGAGGCCCCCGGTCTGGCCCATGCCAGCCTGAGAGGCTCCCCAGGCCAGCGGCCTGCAGCAGGGTTGCTTTGTAAAGTTGGGGGAAGGCCAGCGTGTGCATCCTTTTGACGACTGGGACCTTTCTGAGTGACCGTGGGTGCAGGGAGCTGTCGGCAACAAAGGCCTCCTTCCTTCTGGGGACCCGGGTTTCCTGCCGCCTTCAAGCAGCGGGCCGCACGTAGGGAGGGCCGCCAGAAAGGGGAAGGAGCCCAATCGCTGGTGACTCAGCCTGGTGTGGCTTCTGGTCCTGCGGGGTGTGGAGCTGGCTGTGGTTGGAAGGAGGCTCTGGGGGCTGCAGGTGGAGGCCGTCCGGCTTCCCCTCACTGGGGTCCTGCGGGACCCCCCTCATCTTAGGCGATGCCCTGCTGTCAGCCGTGGGGGGAGTCCTGGGGAGAGTGCGCCACTCCGCTGGCCCCTCTGTGGGGGGGGACAGGTGGGCACGCGGGGTGGGAGAGAAGGGAAGTCTTTCAACGGTGGAGGCTGTCTTTCTTTTTTCTTTGCTCTAACAAAATAAACAGTCGCACAGTGTCCCTTAAGGGGATGCCTTCCAGCAGCCCTTAGGGAGGCCGCCAAACATGGTCTCACATTGTCTCCCGGCGCCAAAGCCTTTAGCTCCTACGACCCCCCTCCGCCACCCCTCCCCCAACCTGAGCAGCGCTGGCCCCACCCTCCATGCCCAGGAGAAGCTTCAGGGCCCCTGCGCCCCTCTGCCCACCCCCAGGAGCCTGGGAGCAACTCCCCGCCCCCCATGCTTGCTCCAGCCCTCGCTCATGTAACCCCCCCTGCTGTCCTCCCTGCAGCCCATGACAGACCTGGACACAAAGATCCAAGAAAAGGCCATGAAGGTGGACATGGACATCTGCCGTCGAATCGATATCACGGCCAAGCTGTGCGATGTCGCGCAGCAGCGGAACTCGGAAGACGTGTCCAAGATCTTCCAGGTGACTAGGGCCACCCTGCTCACCAGCCACCACGCCCCGCTCCCAGAGGGCCTGGCCTCCACCCTGTGCAGCCAGGCCCTATTCCCCTCAAGTCCTGCCCACTCCCCTTCCCCCAGAGGTAGCGTTTACCCACCCGTCTGGCCTCCCCAGGACAAGGTAGCATCAGGGACTTGTAGGGCCGTCAGGCTGCATCGTCGAGGCTGGCTGCTTCATCCTGTGGCTGAGGAGACCACTCGCCCGTCGGGGGGGTGCGGGGCATGCGACAGGCACAGGGAGGGAAAGGAAGAGCTGGGACCAGATCTCAGGTCTTCTGACCCCCCAAGGCTTGGTCCACAGCTCCACGGGTGCCATTGCCAAGGTTGAGAGCCCTGGCCAGGCTGTGGGAGCCCTGGGTAAGCCGACCTGAGCCCTGGCAGATGAGCCTAAGAATTCCTGAGAGGAGCTTTTCGTCTCTATTTTCCGTTTCCACTGAAGAGTCTCTGTCAGTCCCCACCCCCAGCCATCAGTGAGCAAGTGTGTGTCCCTAGAGATGGCAGGCACGGGGGCAGTTAGCACTGGTGGGCTGTCCTCTAGGGAGGGCTCGGGGGCTAGTCCAGTTGCCCAAAGGCCATGCGTCATTCTCCAAAGGCTGCTTCTTGAATTTTGGGTTGTAGTTTGGCTTTTTGCTTGAGCCCAGGGCAATACGGTATGTGTCGTCGCTTTAAGTGTGTGACTCTGGATGTAGCGGGGAAATCCGGGCTCGCTGCCCCTCTGCTGGGAAGCCGGGGCAACCATTCCAGGCTTTGTTTGGTTTGCTCGTGTCTTGTCCGCTCGGAGTGGAGGAAGCTTAGTGAACCTTGGGCTGCCTGCCCGTTACCTTTGCATGTGAGCAGGAGGGCTCTGAAGCATGGGGCCCTCCGGGCCTCTGTGAAGGGTTCTCCATCTCTCTGGCTGGCTCTGACGCATCCCGGGTGACTCTGTGCCCCGGTCTGGCCCACTCCTCTGCCCAGATCATGGGGCTGCCGCTCTGGTGAAGGGCCGAGCTGGGCTGGCCCACCCCCCAGGGGAGGGCAGGGTCAGGCCTTCGGCCCTCCGTCCTGCATGCCTCCTGCCTCGCTCTCCTTGCTAACGCCGCCTGCTGCCTAGAATAGCTAGCTCCGCTCCTTCCCAGCAGTGGCTTCCCCAGCCACGCTCCATCCATCCCGGGGGTGCCGGCTCCTTTCCCAGCCCATCTCAGTAGAGCCTCCCACTTACCTCGATCTCTTCCTTTCCGGGTCAGGTGGTCCCCAAAAAGAAAGAGCGTAAGGTGCCTTCCGACGATGACATCTCCGAGCAGGATGGGGAGGTGACAAACCGGTTCTCGGACGACGAGGTCGGCTCCATGAACATCACGGATGAGATGAAACGCATGTTTAACCAGCTGTGAGTATCTCCGCTGCCCCACCCCCCGGGGGCTTCTCTCCAGTTTCCCCACACCGCTGGGACAGGGGTGGCAAACTGGTGGCCCTGGGTGGAAAGTAGCCTGCAGACATGTTTTGTTTGGCCCGCATGGTGTTCTGAAAGAGTTTATCTTCAACGGTTCCAATTTGGGGAGTTTCAACGGTTTCAGAAGAGGCCGAATAGTAGTGGTGGGGCTGTCTGATCAAGCCTTCCACTCCCACCGCCGTCCTTGGGGTGTGGTAGCCAAGGCGATCCACGCAGCAGGGCCCCCCATGTTGGCCGGGGGCGGGCTCCCGACCCAGTGAGCAGCCTCTGTCTGCAAGGTGATTCACAAATGTGGCTTCGGTGACTCCAGTCGACCGAAGAGGTGGGTTACCGTTCCCCGTTTTGTACATGAGGAAACTGACACTCAGAGAAGGGAAGCCACTTGGCCAAGACCACCCTACTGGTAATGTGGCGGAGCTGAGATTCAGAGTCGGGCCCATACCTGTGAGAAGCCGTGGGTTCGTGGCAGAGTCCGGGGCCGGCTGTGGTTCCTGAGAGGCCGGAGCCGGCTCGTACCAGCTCGTGGAAACGGATTGCACACACATCTGTCCACTCCACGCTCAGTGACGGCACAGAAAAGGAGCTTACTAGCTGCCCTGGTGTGAAGTTGAAGTTGGCGAATACTTCCCATCAGGGCCGCCCTCCCCTCCCCTGGGGGAAGTGGTTTCCTAGACCCTTACTGGGTGTAGTCGCTCAGGGCAGGGAGACGTTGTGGCCTTGGCCTGTCCAGTGCCATGTTCTCGATCCAGATCCATCTTTAACTCCGATTCATGTAGTGCCCTAAGTTGGGGAGGGGGAGGGGAGAGGAGGGTGCAGCTGCAGGCATTGGGTGACTCGCCTATGGGCCTGGAGTCAAAGGGCTGGGCTGGGACAGGGTCTCCGGGGCCCACATCTCCTCCAGCCCCACAGGCCTGCTCTTGCCTGCCATTTCTCTGGGGCTCCTTGCCGTTGGGTGCCCGAGCCCTGAGAACTCGCTTTTCCCCAGGACTCTGGGTAAAAAATGGCAGGATGACGTTCGAGCTCATGGCTCTCATGAGCGATCACAGAACCCCACAGAACCCCTCCAGAGAGGGCACGTGCCTTCAGCAGTTGCCTCTGACATCGTACTCAGTTCCGGCTTCCTGAGAAGCTCTGGGGCTGGCTTAGCATTACAGAGTCCAAGGGTCCCTCAGCGCAGCCCCTTCACGTACGGACAGGGAAACTGAGGATACGAGAGGGGCATGCCAGGAGTTGGAACAGAGCTGGGTCCCTGACTCTTGCTTTGTCCCCAGCTAGCTGTCTTTGTGCTCGGAGAAATGTCTCCCTCTGCCCTCCTTCCAACACCATCCCTGCCCCGGTCCCTTTGCGGCTGAGCCAGGTGACTCTTAGGGAGGCAGCAGTCAGAACCGACCCGGGATGGGCTCATCTGACCCTTCCTTTTACTTGTCATTGAAACAGGCTTTTCTTGAAACAGAACTGAGGTGGGGCTGTGTTTTGGGGGGTTGCTCTTTGAGGGTGACAAAGAGACTCCTGGACTTTTGATTTCATCTTTTGATGTCCCCTCCAGATGTCATATTCTCATCTTTTGGTGACGGGAAAGGCTTTGGAAGAGAACTCTTGGTTGGATCCAGTTTTTCTGAATGTTGTACGGGGCACTGTCCGCCCCACAGACCCAAGCTGGGTTCATTTGGGTGAATTAAGGGGCTTCTCTGGAGAAATTGTCTGCGTTTTCAGAAAGTCGCCAGGGGATAATTAGACTGCCTAGGAATGGGGTGAGCTGAAAGGGACGGTCCCCAGAGCTGGGTCTGGGGGCTCCAGCAGAAGCATGACTGTGTGGATAAAGGAGGTTCCAATACAAAATCGGGTGTCTGGTGTTGACAGGTCTGAACTAGGTTCAGTATCCGGTTAGATTTATCAGTTGTAAAGTTGCCTGGGTTAAAAAAAAAATCCTCTGATCGTCTCTCTACCCTTTCGGTTCTGGCCAAGGCCATGCTGACCCCACCCTCAGCAGGGCCCTGGCCCCCTCCCACCGAAGTGTCCCTGCCTGCTGGCTAGGGGCTGGGCCGAGACCCAAGCCGGAGGCTGCCCTCCGGTCAGTTCCACCGAAGTCTTTGAATAATGCGCCCGTGTCAGGGCTGTTTTGTTTTGATCAAAATCTGTTGCTTGGGCTTCAGACCAAGGAGCAGGGGAGGAATTTGCTACTTCCTCTGCACCCAGGCCAGCTCCTGAGCCCCGCCCTCCCGATCTTCTGACCCCTCTCTCTTGCCCATCTTCCCATCCTTTCCGGCTCCCCATTACTCAGCCAGGGGTTCCTTTAGATCCCAGCCACTAGAAAGGAAGTGAAGTCAGCAGTCGAGTATGCGTTGCAGGGCCCGTGGACCCCAGGGGGCTCATCTGGAGCTAGTCCAGGCCAGCAGCGCCTTCCATACAGCTCTGGTGCCCGCTGTGGGCCCTGGTCCCTGGGCCTACGGAGCCACCTGCAGGATCCAGCAGGAACTGCCTTTTGCTGGGGAGCCTGGCTCCAGGGGGTGCTCTAGGTAGTTTTTAACCGGAAGTTCTTGGGCCTAAGCCCGGTGGCCCCCAGCCTGATCCTCTGGGAAAATAGGGAGCAGTGCCTGGAGGACCCAAGGAGGAGTTGAAGGAGAGCCCTGGGACTCACGTTCTCCTCTCCTCTGTGGCTGATTCGATGGATCAAGTGATTTAACCCCTGCAGACATCAGCCTTCCCATCTGATTTTTAGGGTCCCCTCCAGAAACCAGGGCACCTCCAGAAACCCCTCAGTCCCAGGCAAGCCCGTGTGGTCTGTTACCCTACTTCTAGCCCCGGTGAATAGGGAGGCCCTGAAATTACTCAGGCTTTGAACGCAAACCCGGTGTCCAGCATGTGTTGGTCCAGAAGCCCCCCTAATCCCTGCAACCTTGAATGTTCTCATCTGTAAAATAGGAATAATAATCATGCAGGTCTCATAGGAATGTTGTGAGGATGGAATGAAATGCAGTTTAATACAGGCATAGCGGCCCGGCCCGTGCCCCACACACAATGGTTTTTACTGGGGAGGAAAAAGCTGTGGGAAACATCTGGTTTTTAGCCCCGGTTTCTGTTATGGGCCAGCACTGTGACTTTGGACGAGCGAGTTATTCTTTCTGAGCTGTAGGTTCCTCATCTGTAAAATGGGAACAACAGCAACCTTTTCCGAATTGTAGAGAAGATGATATAAATCACCTCTTGCAAAGTAGGGTCTCAAGAAATGAGCTGGTACCTGAGTGAAAACAGTCACAAGGGCGCCTGGGTGGCTCAGATGGTTGAGCGTCGGACATCAGCTCAGGTCATGATCTTGCGGTTGGTGGGTTCAAGGTCCGGGTCGGGCTTTGTGCTGACAGCTCAGAGCCTGGAGCTTGCCTCGGATTCTGTGTCTCCCTCTCTCTCTGCCCCTTGCCCATTCACGCTACTTCTCCCTGTCTCAAAAATAAACATCAAGATAAAAAAAAATATATATATATATATACACACACACACACACACGTTTTAAGTTGTATAAATAATACGTAAATACTTTCTGCATTTTAAAAGAGACGGAAAAGGTGCGTGACCCCTTTGGCCGGCGCCCCGTCTGTCTGGGGAATGCCTTGCAGGAACATCCCCATGGGGGCAGCACCTCCCTCTCCCGCACCCCGGCCTCTGGAGCCTGGCCTCCCTTCACCCCTGCCTTCCGGTGCCCTCCCACAGGCGCGAGACCTTTGACTTTGATGACGACTGTGACAGCCTGACGTGGGAAGAGAATGAGGACACACTGCTGCTCTGGGAGGACTTCACCAACTGCAACCCAACCATCGACCTACAGGGCGAGGTGAGCCCGGGGCCTGGCGCCCCACCGGCCCGCCGGCCGTCCCCTGCCCTGCCCCAGCGGCCTGGGCCACCAGCCTCACTCGGCCCCCTTTGCTCTGTGTCCCCAGCAAGAGGAGAATTTGGGCAACTTGATCCACGAGACAGAATCCTTCTTCAAGACGAGGGACAAGGAGTACCAAGAAACGATCGGCCAGATCGAGGTGAGGGCTCAGGCTCTGGGGCCCCCTGGAGAGGCTCCCGTGAGGTGAGGTGTCTGTCACAGCGGGGACCCCGTGACGAGCGTGCCTGTGGGCGCCGGGTCGGGAGTTGGAGGCCCGCGGTTCCCTGCCTGCCCCTGAGTGGGTCTTACCCCACTTTAGGGCCTCAGTTTTCCCATGTGTGAAATACATAAAATGGGGGTGGTCATCCCTGTCTGTCCCAGAGAGTTGTTTTTGTTGTTTTTTTTTTTTTTAAAGTTATTCAACTGAGACGGTGACCAAATAACCAGGGATGACATTTGAGTGACATTGAGGGATGCTAGGCACTAAGTAAGCCCTTTACAAGTGCAGCCTCTGCGGCATCCACACACCCTCTGCATGTGCTGACTGCTAGCTAGGTGCCTCCGCCCTGCACAGTGGGTGCCGTGCACCCCGTTTTACAGAGGAGGAAATGAGATGGAGAAGGGCCCACGTGGCCTGCCCAGGGGCACCCAACCGGGAAGCAGCCTTCAGGGCTGCTGTCTCTTCTCTGGAGCCCGCACTCCTCCGTCTTTCACAGAGACTGAATGCTGGCCAGAGCGCAGCCCGGTCCCTGCCCTGGGGGATATAGCATTTCGTAGAGGAGAAGGGGGCAGAAACTTAATGGGGACCTGAGAGCTTCTTCATCAAGTCCACGTGAAGGAGCGCAGGGATGCTGGGCTGGGTAGAGTCAGAGGAACCAGGAAGGCTGCCACCCCCACAACGGTCGCTAAGCAGCCATTCCCCTTTTGCTGGAAGCAGTTCTAGAGGCCATAGACCAGCACACAGAGAATGGAGGGAGGCCCATAGGGTGTGGTGGGGGCCGTCTCGGAGCCATCACCACAGAGGATGTGGGCGGGAAGTTGCTGAGGGTTCTGGAATGCGGGTGACTTGGCCTCACCTATATCCTCACATCCGGTCCTGGCAGCTGGAACTGGCCACGGCCAAGAGCGACATGAACCGACACTTGCACGAGTACATGGAGATGTGCAGCATGAAACGCGGCCTGGACGTGCAGATGGAGACCTGCCGCCGGCTCATCAAAGGCTCCGCAGACAGGTACCCAGCCCTGTCCTCCCTGGGGAGTCAGTAACTGTGTCCTTCGGGGGGCATTTGTGAGGCTGCAGTTTACAGCCTGGCCCATTTCATCAGCTCAGCCCATCTGTCCATTCTCCTGTCCATGTATCCATCCACCCATCCACGCATCTATCCATCCATCCACCTACCCACCCATCCATGCATCCATCCATGCACCATCCATCCATCCATCCATCCATCCATCCATCCATCCATCCGTCCACCCATCCATACTTCCATCCACCCATCCACGCATCCATGCATCCACCCATGCACTCATCCACCTATCTACCCATCCATGCATCCATGTATCCATTCATCCCTCCATCCATCTACCCATCCACGCATCCACACATCCACACCTCCATCCATCCATGCATCCATCCACTCATCCATCTATCTACCCATCCATGCATCCACGCATCCACCCACCCATCCATCCATCTATCCACCCACCCATGCACCCACACATCCACCCATCCATCCATCCACCTACCCACCCATCCATGCACCCACCCATCCACCCATCCATGCATCTATCCATCCATCCACCTACCCAACCATCTATGCATCCATCCATGCATCCATCCATGCATCCATCCACCCATCCACCTATCTACCCATCCATGCATCCATGCATCCATTCATCCTTCCATCCATCTACCCATCCACGCATCCACGCCTCCATCCATCCACCCATCCATCCATCCATCCATCCACCCATCCATCCATCTAATGAGTATTAGCCACCTGCTGTGTGCTGGATGACTTACGTGGTCTGATCTCACGTAACTCCCATGACAGCCGTGTCCCCACTGATTCCACAGCTACTTATCATGTCAAAGGCCTGCTCTGTGCCAGGCTGTGGGGACAGTGATGAACAGAGCAGCCACAGCCTCTGCCTCTTGGGGCTCATGCCCCACTTTCTGCTGAATTGCCAGGTGGGTGGGGGAGGTCGGGAAGACACTGCCCACCACTGCCGATGGGGCTCATATTTGCCCATGGGAAGCAGTTTCCCTTCCTTTCCTGTCTTCCTTCCAAGGGCCACGTGGGTCTGTCCTCAGGAGACTGACGTGCATCAGGCCAGGAAATGCCAAAACAAAGAGCCCCTGCCTTGAGGAACACGCATTCTTTTGGGGGAGACATATGCTAATGATAAAATGAGCTAGTACATGTAAAATGCTTGGCACGAAGCGCACATATCTTAATTGTAATTGTTTCTCTTATTATGACTGTGTTCCTGCAGGCCACAGTTTAGGCTGTAAGAGGGAGAGACAGCTCAGTGGGAAGCTGTGGGGGGCAGGGGGCGGGCCTGGGCTTGGCACGTAGCACCCTTAGCTGTTTCCCCTGGAGCCCACTGTCATTATCTCCAGTATTCAGATGGAGGAGCATACGCTCAGGGTGGTTTAATAGCTTGCCCGAGGCCCCCCAGCTCATCAGTGACAGGGCCAGAATTCAAACTCATCACCATCAGCCACTTTCCCGTATGGCCTCCCTCTGAGCTCTGAGTTAACTGGGGTTCCCTGGGCGCCTACCACGTGCCCAGCCCTGTGTCAGGTGGTTGGAGAATAGGAACCACAGTATCTGCCTCCAGGGAGCTCTCAGCACCCAGCAGTAAGAGGCATTGTGGCGGGGGAGGGGGGGGGTTCCCCGAGAGGTCTTGAGGGCCACATTCAACTCACGAGCTTAGAAGATTCTAAAGAAAGCAGAGCAAGGGCAGGGGTCTCAGAGTAGGAAAGCCCTCTGGGGTTAGATTATATACACAGGTGGCGGCTCTGTCTTTTCTGCTCCTTGGATCCCTTCAGGGGATCTGAATGACGCCCGTTCTCTGGTGCCTTCCAGGAACTCACCATCCCCCAGCTCCGTGGCCAGCAGCGACTCAGGAAGCACAGACGAGATCCAGGATGAGTTTGAGCGGGAGGCGGATGTGGAGCCCATGGTCAGCTGATGACTGAGGCCCCCTGCACCTGGTGGTCTAGGTGATGAGGCCTCTGCGCCTGCTCCCCACGGGGCCAGGAAGGCTCCTCGGAGCGGGGCTCCCGTCCTCACCACGCCGACTCCCTCTGCCCTCCCGTCTCCAGAGGCCCTGAGGGCCCGCTGCTTCCTTCCTTCCACCCCACCAACCCATGCCCCTTCTCCATCCACCCACCCAAGGAATGGTGCTGTCAATTTCTATCGTTCTCCACATTACAGATGCAGACTTCTGTCCGGACGATGCAGTGTTAACTGTGCCTTTTCCCCTAAGCTGAGCCACTTTGAGCTCCAAAGAATTATTCCTAGCAGGTGTTTTTATACAAAATTCTGAGGTGAGGGTGGGGCCCCTGGCATGGTATCCAATGGATTTCTACCCTCCCACCTGCTCCTCTGATTGGCCGTGAGCTATGCCCTTCCCTCCTCTGCCTGGCCAGTGCAGACCCGAGTTGGCCTTGGGGTGGTCTGCCTGCCCCCCGCCCGCCCCCCCCAGGAAGGAGCTGTCTGCCTTTGCAACCCTTCTAGGCCTGGGTGGGGGCCTCTCAAGTGCTTTAACTTGAAAAGACGGAAGGAGGGAGGGAAGACAAAATTTTCTTTTCTTTTTGGATCTAGTGGCAAAGCGGAGGGACAAGGCACTGCAGGGGGGAAGTGGAGTCTCACTGTGTTTAAACTACTATGCAAAAAAAAACAAAACAAAACAAACAAACAAAAAAAAAAGCAGCTTGCCTTATATCATTGTGGAAGGTAGGCCCCCCGCCAGCCCAGACTCCTGGTTTTCCCCTGGAGCTCAGAGGGAGGCGGAAGCTCGGGCGATCTCTCTCGCAGCCTCTTAGGGTGAGCACTGACTTGGGAATGGGGGGGGGGGTGTTCTGTCAAGGTCGGTAGTGAGGCCTGGGTCCTTCAAGACCCTTGGCCCACCCGACTGCTTGCTCTCTTGGGACCTCTGTGGGGTGGGAGAGGTCTACTATCGCCCTGATGACTTGATGTGTTTCTGTCCCTTCCCAGCCAATGATAAGGGGCCATAGATGTGTAATTTCTCTGTGAGAAAGTCCGAAGAGGGCTCGGCCTGGCTTCCACCCCCTCCACAGTGGGGCTGGGTTCCTACCGCCTGCCGCCATCTTGGTTCTCCACTGCCCCCAGTCGCCCACTTCTTGGCCACTGGCTGGCACTGGAAAGGGAAGGAGAGGGAGGCAGTGAGGGCTGCTGGCGGTTCAGAGGCAGTGGCAGGAGCGGAGGTCATCTCTGGATGAGAACCACCCTTGTTCTGCTCGTGGACACACGCAAGCCTGTTTCCATACTTCACCGGCCAGTGGGGAGTTAGTCTGAGCCAGTATCTCCCCAAGACTTGAGCGGGCCTGTGTCAAAAGGCACCACGTCGAGGCCACCCTGCCACATCTCAGCTTGGAGCCAGGCGAGCAGGTTTCGCTTTGTAAGGAAGATTTCTTTTTGTACCCACTCCTGTGGGTGGGATTATCCAATTTTTGGTTTTTTATTGGCCCAGGAGCTCCCCCTGGAGGTCAAAGAAGCAAAATGGGCCCAAGGACCAGAACTTCCCACCTGCTGCTCCGGTTGCGGAGATGAAGGAGGGCTCTGGCTTTAAATCGGATTGCAGCCCCCTGCCTTTCTTCCTCAGGGTACCAGCGACCTGTCAGGGCCTTCTCTCTCTTCTGTTTCCCCCCCTGTTTTGCAGTCTTAAAACCACTGTAAATAATATTCATATAATATATATATATATGGAGAGAGAGAGCGTGTGTTAGTGATTGTATGTAATTTTTATTTATCAGAACTTGGTGGCCTTTACTGTGAGTTTTTTCCATTGTTGTTGTTGCTGAGGGAGGCTGCTCGCGGTTCCCTGCGGCGGCCTGGATGAGAGGCCTCTATTCCCAGGCGAACGGTCCCTGGGTAGGTACGCGGAGGGACGCTGGCTTCGGAGGCCCCTTCCCCTCCTCCTCACTGACCCTTGTTCTAAAGGTTACAGGGTTCAAACATACCTGACTATTATTGTCATTAGTGTTGTTGTTTTAGTTTTAAGTTTTTATTTTAACCAAAGGTTATCAGAGCCAGTTGGGCTGGGACCTCGGCTGCTGAAAAGATTTTCCGTTTCCGGGAGGACCCCTCGGGCCTCCTCTGTCCGGAGCTGGCGGAGGCCTGGAACGGCGTGTTTGGGAGGCAGGGTGGAAGCCAGCCCTGGGCTGCTCCTCAAGGTGGTGGGCGGGTGACGGACCTATCTTTAGTGTTAAGAGTTAAGGCAACAGTGTAAGTATCTGGGGGTAACCAAGGTGACCAGGGCAGGCGGTGTCCGGTGGTATTATTTACGCTTCCCCCCTTGGGGACATAGGACGTTTGTCTCTGGGACTAGTGTGCTTTATGTTTGCCCAGGCAGTATGGAAATGGCAGGGGCCAGAGACAGATGCTGGCCGGAAAGTTCCTTCTTGCTGGTTTTCCATAGCTGCTCCCCTCTGGGGAGCAAGGAGTTGGGGCAGGATGATGGGGGTGGGGGACAGCAAGGGGGTGGCCGGCCTGCCTCCTGGGCAGGGGGCCTGGGTCTTGGTCTGGCTACCCTCCTCCCCACCAACTTCCTTTTTTTTTTTTGAGTCCATTGCCAGTGGGCCCTGCTTGTCCCCTCGCCGTGAGCCCACAGCTTGCCAAGAAAGCCCCCAACGCTCGCTGGGGCAGCCCCAGGTCCAGTTGGGATGAACTGGTCCGTCCTTTGTAAAGCTGTAAATAGTCAAATTTCTATTTCTAAGCCCAGTGTCACATTGATACTGGTATTTTAGGGTTGTTCCCAGATGGACCCTCCTGTGCTGCCCTCTCTCACTCTCCTATTTTTGGGGGTTTTATAAAAAGAGAGGATCGGGGAGGAACAGGGGGAGTAGCTTCCTTTCGGCTCCCTGGTTGTGGGATCCATGCGCGCGCATGCGCGCGCGCACACACACACACACACACACACACACACACACACACACACTCCTCTGAGACTCCAAACAGGGAAAAAAGATCTTCGGCAAGTAAACACATTTTGTTTTCTTGTAGCAATATATCTTGAGGTCTCTGAAGGGTCAGTCCGTCCTGGACTTGGCTCTGACCTACGGGAGAAGCAAACCACTTTGGCTTGGAATGGGGGGGAGGGTGCGGGGTAGGGGATGATAGAAGGTGTCGCTTAAGCTAAATGTAATCTATTTATAAAAGCAAGAGATTCTCATCTATTTTTATGAAAGGAAAGGGTTTTTAAATCTAGGGTAGGCAGTTACGGCAGCCCAGCGTTCTTCTGTGAATGAGATGCATGTTGCTGCTGCTGAGTATAGCCAGTGCCCCTCGCCCCATCTCCCCGGCCTCACCGCCTGCTCACCTGCACCCATGAGCGGCTTCAGCAGAGCCTACGTCCCACTTCGCCTCATTTCCCTGCTCCTTGACCCCTCCCCCAGCTCCTTGGTCCTTGAAAGTCTTTGGGGGGGCACTTGTGGGAGTGGGTGGGCAGTGGGGGATTCAGAATTGAGGTGGGTGGGGGGAGGGGAAAGGGGGGCACCAGGTAGGGGGACCAGCTCTGCCTCAGTTGTCACTCACACTCCGGTCTGCCATATCCATTTCCAAGTCAGCTGTGTTTGGGAGGAGGCGGAGAAGCCACGGGGCTGTTGGTTCAGGGAGCACTCGGCTTCCTTGGGGCCCGGGCCCTAGTGGGTCCCAGGTCGTCAGGCAGCTGGTGCCAGGGATGGAATTGCCAGGCGACGCCTACCTCCCAGCCCCAGCTGCGCGTACTCAGGCCGCAGCCCAGGCTGTAGTCTTTGATGTGCTCTTCCGGGGCCTGGGGGCGGACTAGGGTGCTGCGTGCGGGGTCTTGCACGTGTGGGGTCTTGAACCTGGGTTCACCACCTGGAGAGACACCGAGTTCTAGAAGGATGCTCTCCCGGAGTGCAGTCTGGAGGCAGCTGGGTGGGTATGGGCAAAGGCAAATTCTCTCTGAAAGGGAATTTTTCACGGGCAGAGGATTTCCAGGTTCAAGGTGGGCTGTGTGTTGGTCTTGGGCAAATCCCCCACTGTTCCCGCTGCCAGGCCCTCAAAGAAGTGAGGCGAAGGCACCATCCCCACCCCCCAGCAAGACCGCTTCGGTGGACCTTTTAGCATCTACCTGATTTTTAGCCCCATCCAGGGGGACTTTGTATCCCACAATCCCATCCCACCCCACTGTTGCTGTTTGTCTGCCAGTTGGGTCTAGTGTCAAGGGGAAGGGGGGAGGGGCGTTTATACTCATTGAAAGACTACTGATCCTACCGGAAACCAACCTGTTTACTGTACTGTTGTAAATATCATGCCCTTTATATCCTGTATATTGGCTTCTTTTAAATAAAGTGAAATGTCTTAGAATTGATAGTGTGTTTTTTTTTTAAATTGAAGATAAAGTAATGATGGGGTGGGGAAAGGGGACCGAGGGCCACATAAACACCAAAACCAAGTAATTAGCCAGTTTGTGATAAAATAGGAAAATTTCACATCACCTGCTAGAGTTTCATCTCACAATAAAATCTTTGGAAGTCGATTAAGGAGGAAGGGGAAGAGCCAGCCAGAGATATCACAGGCTGAGTAACTGGCATAGCCTGGTTTGCAGTTGAGGTCCTGTTAATCATAAAGCCACCCCCCCACCCCCATGTCTTTAGCCTCCTTTTACTGAGCCCATGAGAGACCACCTCTGGGACTCTGGATTTGACACTGTCCAGTGTTCTAGTTTCTTCTCGTTAATGACCAAATTTGGGGAGACATTGCCTGGTGTGAACTGCCCCCACCCCCACCCCCACTAGGGTTTTCTGAACGAATTGAGAGAGCGACAGGAATGCCTGGGTGGTTCAGTCAGTCAAGTGTCTAACTCTTGAGTTCTGCTCAGGTCATGACCTCACAGCTCCTGAGTTCGATTCCTGCCTTAAATCTATGCTGACAGCACAGAACCTGTTTGGGATTCTCTCTCCCTCTCTCTGCCCCATCCGCACTTGTGGTGCCTTCTCTCAAAATAAACTTAAAAATTTGTAAATAAAAAAAGACACAGCCACCAATTCCAATCTATTTCTATCATCTTTAAGACTTGAGCTTAATGTAGCTTCCTTTTCTCACTTCCCACTCTTTAAATTTTCCAGAAGTGTCTTAAAGGGCATGACCTGGGAAAAGAGGAGTAGCTGAAATAATGGGGGCATTCTAAGGTGGGTATTCTAACCCCTCTACTATAGACCTGAAAACTGAGGCCCGGGGAAGTGAGGTATTTATTTTGCCAAAGTCCTCAGTTGGAACCACAATTACGCATCGGGACCGACTCCTAAGCAGGTTCTCCGTTCACGTTGGAGGAAATATAAACAGGCAAACTGCAAGAGTGTTAGAAACGCTTCAAAGGTAATTTAGGAATAGAATGAATCCCTAGGACCCCGCCATCGGAAAGTCTTCAGAATCCTAGTCGTAAATAAAGCGTTCAAGCGAACGGCTTCGAGAGGAAACCAAAATTTTGACTGCGGTGGGGTGGTTGGGGTGGAATGGAGCGCAGGGGCAACTGGTTGGAAGGTCAGAGGCTTTGGGGGAAAAGCTAAGCACGGACTGGCTAGGTTTTCTCTCTTATCGATCGTAATCTGCCAGCAAGCAGGCGGATTTATCTCCACGCCAGGCCCCCGCAAGCTTCAGGGCCCGCAGGACGCTGGGAGGTGGAGGCGGCTGGGTGCCCACAAGGAGGAGGCTGGAGGCAGAGGTCGGCTGGCTCCTCCCAGGGGCTGCAGCCCCCGGGTGCAGGCAGGGGTGGAGGCAGGGGGCTGGCCGCAGTGTGGCCCGCGGGGTCCAAGAACCTAATGGCCACCCGACCAAGGGCAGCCCCAACGGTCAGGCTGGGACGCTCCCGACACCTGACGCACCAACTCGCAGCCCTTCCGCGGCCCCGCGCACGTGTCCCGCTCCAGCTCTCTCATTGGCTCTTTCAGCGCCCTCGCCCAAGACGGCTGCAACAGGACCGTCCACCTGATTGGCCCCTAAGCTTCGATGTGTCATTCTGATTGGTCAATGAGGCTCACGCCCCTTCTCCCTCGGCCCCCTGGAGGGCGGCTGGGTCATACCATAAGGAGGAGGGGGAAACGTGTATATGTCAAGGCTTCTCTTTGGGGCTACCTCGTCCTGTGTCGCATACTGGTCTCTACAGGGCCCTCAAAACGGGAAGTGTTGTATTGTCAGAAGGCACATATGGAGGCATTTCAGTTGACCCCCGACTCGGAGGACGGCCGCGTGATCAGATCCCCCCGCCTGCCGGGGTGGTGCGCTCCGGGCGGGGCTCCACCTTCTGGCCGCGCCCGCGGCGCTCGGTGAGCGGACAGCCCCGCCGCGCGCCCGCGATGCTGCCGCTGTGCCCCGCGCTCCGCCGCGCCCTGCAGGCCCGCCCCTGGAGGGGGCCCGGGTGAGTGCGCACCTCCCTGCCCGCCCCCCGCCGCGGGCTCGCGGGCCCCCCAGCCGGGGGGCGCTCCCTCTGGAGGCGCTCCGCCCCTCACCCAGGCCTTCCTCGCGCTGCGACCCCCCACCGCGGGAGGCCGGCGGGGGACCTCCTCCCGGTTCCCACGCTCCGCTCGGAAAGTCGCCTCCTTCGCGCTCGTCTTTCTCCTCATGCGGGACCCACCGCCGAAGTGCATCCCGAGTTTTCGCACAGTGCTCCTTGGTCTCGCATTCAGGATCCACCTCTGGGATTCCTTGAGTCTCCTCTGTCCTTTCTACTGGGACTTCCACTCTCCTTCCTCTAACTCCGCCCCCCTCCCCCCCTTTAAGTTAAGCACCGGGGGTAAAAGGGCCTCTTCCTTCTGATAGGTGGAATAGTAATACTTACGGAGTTCGTATAATGTATATGACGCGGACTAGGGAAGACAGTCATGCAAAGTGCCCTGAACAGTGCCTGGCACTTAGCACCCAGTTCTTCTTAATCACGATCGTCGTTTATTACTCTCCTTTAAACTGTGCGGTAGATATTCCAGATCACATGTGAAGAAACCTAAGGTGGATCAGCCCCGGAAACGCCCATGCTGTGGAGTTGGATTCTTGGACCCGTGCCCACTCAGTGAATGACAGATGTTTCCCCCTCTGGGCTAGACAGGATGTGTGTTGGGGGGTGGATGGGAGAGGAGGTAGGACACAGACCCTGTCCCAGAGGGGCCCAGTCTGATGGACGGGTGTTTCCGTGGGCCTCCCTTTCAGAGCTGGGTAGCCCCCACCCCCAATTTGAGGTTTGTTTGCCTGACCCCTCGGACCGTGACCAGCCATGTCTTCTCTGCTGAGCTCTGCCCTCTCTGAGTTAATCAGTGTCCCAAAGGCTGGCACAGGGGTGTCCTGGACATGGGTTAGTTTCAGCACAGCTGGGTGTCCTCTGTGGGTGGGGGCTCGGTAGGTAAGGGCACAGGAAGAACACATGGGGGAGAAGGATTTCTCTCCCCAGCCCAGATTCGGGGCCACACGTGCCACACCTTCAGCGCCGTTCCTTTTGCGGGCTTCTCCCTGCGCTCTGACACCCACTCCCCTCCCCTCAGACCTTAGATGGGATCTCCATAGATTCTTGTATTACCTGAGCACCTACTGTGTGCGGGTGTTGTGCTAAACACTGGAAGAGAAGGGTACCCGGGGGATTTGCATGTGGACTTTTCAGTTTAATGGCGGGGGTGCAGGGTGGGGAGAGGAGGGCTTAGCCCTAAGAAGCTCTAATGTCTGCTAGAAAGCAATTTATATTCTTTGGAAAAAAAAGCTTATAATGGCAATAATGTTTCTCAAGCGATCAAGCACGTGGCGCTGTCGTTGATAAGCACCATATTATCCCCATTTCTAGAGAAGGGAAACTTATCTTCCAGTTAAAGCAAAGGGAGAACTAAATTCGTAGTCAGACTCCAGATTCGTGCTCTTAATTACACAGCCCCCAGCGTGGAGAAAAGGCCTTTGGCAACCAGACCTGAGGCTCAGGTTAGTCTCTTTCCATAGAGCAGCTGGCGCAGGGCCCTAGACAGGGTTTCTCAAGCTTGGCACGAGTCACATTTCGAGCTGGGTAATCGTGGGTGGCGGGGCTGGCCTGGGCCTTACAGACTGCTTAGCAGCGCTCCTGGCCTCTGCTCCCTGGACACCCTTAGCACCGCAGCTGTAACAGTACAAACATGTCAGCCGTTGCTGAATGTCACCTGGGGCAGAATTGCACCCCGTTGAGAGCCACTGCTCTAGAAAAACAGGTTTGAGGGGCGCCTGAGGGGCTCAGTCGGTTGAGTGTCTGATTTCAGCTCAGGTCATGATTTCACCATTCGTGAGTTCAAACTTGAGCGCCGCGTTGGGCTCTGTGCTGACAGCTCAGAGCCTGGAGCCTGCTTCGGATTCTGTGTCTCGCCCTCCCTCTGCCCCTCCCCTGCTCATGCTCTGTCTCTCTGTCTCAAAAATAAATAAAACATTAAAAGATTTTAAAAAAAGAAAAGAAAAATAGGTTTGATGTTTGGGCCCTTTTTCATTTATTCAGTGACCGTTTAGGATGCACCTTTGCTTTTCGTGAAGCAACAGCATTAGGGCATTTTTAGTGGGGCCTCTCGGTGTCCTGTTTGTAAGACTAGTACGAGGAAGACTTCCTGTCTCGAGCTGACATGGGTGACGTCTGTGGTGTTAACCCCTTTGTCTGGAGTGCCAGGGACTCAACCAATTGTTTTTAATATTTATTTATTATTGAGAAACAGAGAGAAGGGGAGACACAGAATCCGAAGCAGGCTCCAGGCTCTGAGCTGTCAGCACAGAGCCCGACGTGGGGCTCGAACGCACGAACCGTGAGATCATGACCTGAGCTGAAGTCGGACGCCCAACCGACTGAGCCACCCAGGAGACCCCAACCAATTTTTAAAAATACCCTCAATTGTGTTTTCTTTTTATTTCGTTAACATGATCTGTTGTAAAAAGTACAGATTAAGCCTAAAAGAATAGGCATATCACTTGGAATCTCACCACACAGAGGTAACCACTGTCATCATTTTAATACTCCCCTCCCCTTTTTTTTAAATTTTATATACTAGTTTTGAGAGAGAGCGAGTGGGAGAGGGGCAGAGAGAGAATCCCAAGCAGGTTCGGCACTGTCCGTGCAGAGCCCGATGCAGGGCTCGAACTCATGAACTGTGAGATCATGACCTGAGCTGAAACCAAGAGTTGGACCTCAATGTACTGAGCCATCCAGGCGCCCCTCATATCCTTTTAAGTTTCTGTGAATATATATTAAAAAAAAAAACCCAAAAATATAAAAGTGGGTTCGTCTGCAAATCCATTTTTATAGTTGATTTTCTATTTCATAGCCTTGTCTGCCTTCCCATCCCCAGGGCCTTGTACTGTGTCTGGCACCTAGGAAGCCCTGAGCAAACATTCGGTGGAGAAATGATGTTTACAGTCCTTCTTGCCAGTAGGTGCTTATTCCGACTGGTCTTGAGCCGGCCAGCACAGGCACGTGGCCTTGAGGGATGGCCCCGTGATGGCCACTAATGGCAGTAGCTGCCGTTGACCTTCTGTGTGGATTATTTTACTGAGCTCCTCGGGAACCTAGGATGTGGGCGTGACTATTCCCATTTCACGGATTAAACAACCGAGGCCCTTGGAAACTAAGGAAAATTTGCCTAAGGCCTTAAGCTAGCACACCCTAGGCCCCCAGCTGACTGCCTCCTGTCTCGCTTGGCCCTGACCTTCTGCTTTTTTCTCTGCTTCATTGACTTATCAGGAGGTGTCCTCGCTTACATCCTTGAAGATGCTTGTTAGAAAGAGCCAACATGCATATTTATATTTATGTATAAATGATAAGTGAAAGAACTAGCCTGGGCTCACAGTAGGCTTACAACGAATGTTATTTTTGTCCCTCACTTGCTTTTGTGCCAGACCTTGCTGGGTGCCAGGGGTGCGGAGATGACCCCACCTGGGCCCCCTCGCTCCCCCGGCCGCACCCCAGCAGGGATGGGTGGGCTGGGATTGGCCCCAGTCATGTCCCTGCCGGAGTCCTGGGTCACTTTGGACTCCTCTCAGCCCACCTGTCTGTTTCAGCCTCAGAATTTCAAAACTCCCCAGTGCTTGTCCCCGCCTGCCTGGCCCCCAGAAGGGGCACAGGCTGGCACGTCCCACGGTCCCCTGGACATACTCTGCTCTCCCAGTCCCCCAAGCAGAGGCCGGGTGGCGCTTCTTGCCCTGGAAGGCCCCCCCCACCGCCCCCTTGGTGAACCCACACTCACCCAGCGCTTTGCGGCCTTGGCAAGGCAGGCTCTTCTGTGGCCCTCCAGCGCCCTGTCTATAAAATGGGGATAATCCTATTAGCCGGGTAGCAGAAGGATTAGAGGTGATGCGACAGGTGGATTGCTGGGGTCTGGTGCCCCTTCTGTAAATACCTTAGTGAAGTAGTAAGTGGAATCTGCAGTGATCCCAGTACTTGCTTAGAGGCTATTCAAGCCCCACTCAGGCTGTCATCACTGGCGTACCTTGAGCACTTGCTTCTGGTGCCTAGCACCTGGCCTGGCACACAGTCGGCGCTGAGCACTTGCTCTCAGGACGGCTGGAGGACAGCAGGGGGTGGATTCCGGCTTCACTTCTCAGCAGCTCTGTGGCCCTGGACCGGTCATTCAGCCTCTCTGTGCTGCCTCTTGTTCCCAAGTGGTAAAGTTAATAATGGTGGGGACTTCACAGGACTGCTTGGGAGAGTAAATGAATTCGTACAGGAAACCCACCTCGAGGAATATCTGCATCTAGGAAACGTTGCTTTAAGTATTATTTTTGATCCCCCTCCCCCACCAGGGGGCTGCCCTGTCCCTGATCAGAGACATTCAGACAAGAGGCTCCTAGCTGCACAAGGATGGTGGCGGGTGGGGGGGACTTGGGTGCCTTGCCTTATGCTCAGTCATTACCCCGAGGCAAAACCCTTTCTGTTGGGACTGACCCTGCTCACCCCAGGGGAAGGGGCAGCCGCCTGCCCATCTTAGAGGTGTCTTACCCCCCAGACCCTCCCTTTCCTGGCAAGAGATGTCATGGAGTGAAGAGGCCTGGGCTGAGCTGTCTGTGCCCGTGGACAGCAAGCCACCGCCCACCTCTTCCCTCAGGTGGGAAGTGCTGGGTGGGAGGAGGACGCGCCTGTCCCCTCGGCCTCCGCTGCTCAGGGGTCTCTGACCAGCTCCGGGTCCCCGACACGTATGTCTGCCGTAGTGCATGTCCCCTGAGTGGGGAAGACCTGGCCTGCTCTGTCGGTCAGGGTCAGGGAGCTGTGACCCGGAGCCATGTGCTGACGCAGCACGGTGATCTCAGAAGCTCAGTCTTCTCGTCTGTGATGATGATGATGATGGTGAGTTCAGTGCCTTCTTTGTGCGCTCGCAGCTCGGATTCTGGGCATCACCCCTTAGCATCGTGCCAGGCATGCTGTGGTGCTTAATAAATACGCTTTGATGTTCCCGGGCAATAAAGTGGAAAGAGCTCAGCCTGGGCCTGATGCCCCTCCCTTCTGGACCTGCCCTGGGCCCCGCACTTTCTCTCTGCTCACCTCTGCTCCCGGCCCCTTATCTCGGAGATAAGGAGGATTGGCCTTATCATGTCCCAGATAACAGCTGGGAAGGTCTGGAAGCTGCAGGAAGCAGAGCTAGTTTCCTTTCTGCTCTTCTGCTTGGCCTCGGGCAGCCCCGGCCCCAGTCACTGGGGACCCGCAGCCAGCGTCAGGCGTTAGCAGCGGAGCCCTGGCCCTGGAGTCCAGTCCTGGGGCCCCGGAGTCCTTCCCACAACGCTTGGGTATTCATTGGGGTTTTTTCCCCCTCCCTCTTTTTTTTCTCGATGAGTCTGATGAAAGGCTTACCTGTGTGTTCTCTGTTCTAAATGGTACTTTCAAATGCTGCTGTGCCCCAGGCCGTGTGTCCGGTGGTGGGTGGAATGGGCACAGGCTGGGGTGGGGGTGGGGGGGCTGAGGCCTGGCTAGAGCACAGCCGGATGGTGCTCTGCGATGAGCACCTTTGGTGCCATCCTGGGAAGAGCCTGCGGCTCTAGGTGACCCATGGGACCCCGTCCAGGCGCCATGAGGGTGGCATCCCAAGCAGAGGGGACCCAGAAAGACCTGGGTGGCCGGCGAGGCGGACGGGGTGGAGAGGTGGTGGGAAGGGAGTCTGGAGGCCTCAGTAAGGACTCTGATTTTTTGTTGTAGAAGAAACGAGAAGCCACTGAGTAGTTCGGGGCCGAGTGCTTGCTCTCTGTGTGCCTGGTGCTCAGATTTTCATGTTAGAACTAACCCTGGCTTGTGTTGGAGAGTCGCTGGGGGCCAGTGCAGCGTGGCCACTGCAGGCACGCAGTCCAGACCCAAGGGTGTCCTGGGACCAGGGTGGAGGCCGGGGTGCCCTGGGAGCTCGGGCCCGACGTTTCTGAACCTCAGCGTTCCCCTTGTAATGTTCTGTGGTTGTGCCGGCTGGCCCGAAGCTCTGTCTGGTCCTGTTGCAGACTATGTGTGGGTGGTTTTTTGTTTTTTTTTAGTTTTTAAAAAAGTTTAGTGTGTGTGTGTGTGTGTGTGTGTGTGTGTGAGAGAGAGAGAGAGAGAGAGAGCGCGCATGAGCGGGGAAGAGAGAGAATCCCAAACAGGTTTCAAGCTGTCAGCGCCCAGCCCCATGCGGGGCTTGAACCCACGAATTGTGAGATCATGGCCTGAGGCGAAACCAAGAGACGGATGCCTAACTGACTGAGTCACCGGTGTGCCCCAGTGTTGTGACCTTTTTAGCTCAGTTCCGATACTTGCAGAGGGTGGAGAGGGGCAGCTCAGAGGCCCAGGTCATCAGCAGAAGGGGCACCAAGGTTGTTAGGGACCCCTGCGTCAAGTTCAGACTCTGCCCTGGGCCTCCCTCCCAAAGTGGCGGGGCCGAGAGCTCCTCTGACAGAGCAGACTGGCTTCACCTTTGCCTCTCAGAGCCAGGCACCTAGTAGGTGCTCAGAAAACTCGTGAGGAATAAATAGGCGAGTTTCATTGCCCTGATCTGAGTCGTCTCTGTGCCCTTGCGATGTATAGTGAATGTGCGCTGGTGACTGAGGACAGCCGTCCTGCCTCGAAGGGCCTCGAAGATCCTCACCAGAGGCTCCAGGCTCTGGGAGTGATTATTCTTTGCCTTCCCTGGAGCCAAAGGAAGGGTCCTCCTGGTCATTCCAATGACCCATGCGCTGAAATCAAAGAGGCGGGTGGTTCTGTCAGGTGTCTTCAGGTTATTTTTGGCTCCAGTTGACTCAGGCGGACCTTTGAATTCTCTTCCCCACCTTCGGGCCACCAGGCAGCTGGGCCAGGGCCTGGAGACTTGCCAGGTGTAGAGGAAGCCCTGGCGAAACTGATCCTGTGGTCACAGTGGTCCTCTGCCCTGGGGAAGGTGGAGAGAGGCCTGGGAGGGAGCAGGTGCAGGAGGGCTGGTGGCTACTACATTTTGCATTTTAAGCTGGGCAGAGTGTAGTGCTAAATTTATTCCAGGAGTATTTGTCCAGTGCCCCTCAGGGTTAGCCCCTGATTGTTGTGACCTTGAGGGTGTCTGAGAACCAATTTACCTTTGAACACCTGGCCTGGTGCAGTAACGTATATAGAATGTATCACTATATATAACGTAGCAAAAGATACGTGTGTGTGTGTGTGTATTTTGTTTATATACTATATAAATATATAGTATATACATACATATATAAATAAAACAGGGCTTAAATCCGTGACCTTGAGATCAAGTGTTGCATGCTGTACTGACTGAGCCAGGCAGGCCCCCCTGGTGCAGCAGTGTTCTAGAAGACAATTTTCTGGGGCGCCTGGGTGGCTCATTCTGTTGAGTGTCTGACTTCGGCTCAGGTTATAATCTCTTGGTTCATGGGTTCGAGCCCCGTGTGGGGCTCTGTGCTGACAGCTCTGAGCATGGAGCCTGCTTCGGATTCTGTGTCTCCCTCTCTCCCTGCCCTCCCCTGCTTGTGCTCTGTCTCTCTCTTTCTCTCAAAAATAAACATTAAAAAATTTTAGAAGACAATTTCCTTAGAGCTACAGAGCAGGAGGGTGAGGAAAGGCAAGCACTTGCAACCTCACCACAACCCATCAGGGCACACGGCATCAAGCCCATTTCTCAGGTGGGGAGCCCGAGGCTTGCCGAGCTTAGAATAATGGGCTGATGTCTCGAAGCAGCTATGGGTTTCGGTCCCAGAGACATCTGCCCCCAGAGCTGTGCCTTTTTGCGCCCCCTGGGGGCTGGGGTCCGGGCTGGGTTGGGGCGCGTTGAGGAGGAGGAGATGGCGGTGTCCGCTACACTGCTGGCTGGTGGCGTGCTGCCTCTGAGGCCCAGAGAGATGCTGCTGGAACCTTCCAGAGTGCCCCAGGCACAAAAGCTGCCCCGGCTTTCCTGACTGGTGTTGAGGCTTGTGCCGATTCCCCGTAGCTTTGTGTTACTGTCTCCTCAGCTCTCCAGTAGTCGCCCCCAGGGGTGGTGGGAGGCAGGCCTCTCCTCACATTTCTGCTCTGGTGAGGGGCAGGGTGGGGCCTGAGGAATGTGCTGGGCCTCCCGGGGTGTGGTGGGTGCTGCCTGGGGGGCAGGGCGGGGCGGGGCGGGGTGGGGAGAAGGCCTGAGCTCACTTTGCTGCACGCTTTGCCGTTAGGCAAAATCTTGGACAACCGGGTCTGCTCTCCTTCCTGCCGAGCACAGGCCCTTCTCAGCTCTTCCTGTCATGCTTCCTGCTCTGGGGTTTTGGACTTGCTCTCGCCTATGCCTGGAAAGTTCTTCCCAGCCCTTCTCAGAGCTCACATGGCCCTCAGAAGGACACCTCCTCGGAGAGGCCCTCCCTGACTGCCCTGGCTCATTCTCACATCCCCTCTGTCATCACGGTGTCCGTGGCCCTCACCGAAGGTCGGCTGCCTGAGCCCAAGGCCTTGCTGTCTAGGCCACCGCTCTGTCCGCAGTGTTGAAAGCACAGTCAGAGACACAGCAGGTGCTCAGGAGCCTTGTGGAGTGGTGGAAGGGCCGGCCCTCACGGCCCCTGGTTTTGTGTCCTTCCTCCGGGTCTTCCGGGCTGGGTCCTTGAGCCGGAGTCCCTTCCCGGTGGGAAGGAATAGAAGCACCCACAGCACTCCCAGGCTGAGTGCCACGGTGGCCTGGAGGAGTCCCCCAGCCGGGGCTCCAGCTCTGGAATGAACGACCTCAAGTCCTGGCTCTTACCCATCTGCGCCCCACTTCCCGATCCCAGACACGCTAGGGGTGGCGGTCACGAGGGGTCACCTGTCAGTGGGGCCATAAGGTTCCAGGCTTGGCAGGGTCTCCAGGTCAAGGAAGTTTTGAAACTCAGGCACCCTGGGATCAGAGCCTGAACCCCCAAACTAGCCCCCCCCCCCCGTGGCTGAGGTCAGGGCAGCCTCCTCCCAGGGCACCGCCCACATCCTCGATGTTCCCGCCTCCCCCCCCCCCACGGAGCTCACCGCCTGGTACCCGGAGAACCCCAGCCGAGTCACATGGGTCACATTCCGAGGGGACTGAGCTCTGGGCCGCCTTTTCAGCCTGGAGAAAGCAGAAACTTGGGGCTGCATCATGGGGAAGTCAAGGCGGAGTCAGCCCTCTCCGTGTGCACAAAACGCTGAAACGCTAAGTGGTTTTGCATCATTTGCATTTACACTTCACACGCCGTGTGTTTGTTCACGGATTCTCAGCAAGTGCAGAGCCGGGCCTGGAGGAGGCAGGTCACATGCCCAGGGACACGCAGTGGCAGGTCCCAGACTGGAATTTGGATTTTAGACCCCAGGGCCCGTTGGCCCCCACTCCCGCAGTTCTGTGCTTGCTCTGGATTTCGGGGTTCTGGGCCAGCCCACGGCACCCCTCCCTGCTGTTGGAGGTTGGGGGTTGGCTGGGTCTGGCAGCAGCCGCCACTGACCTGTCTGTCCCTGTCCCCTGCCCTTGTGTCCCAGGCTGCGGTGGAAGCATGCCCCCTCCCTGAAGGTGGTCAACGAGCCCGTCCTGGCTTTCACGCAGGGCAGCCCCGAGCGAGACGCGCTGCAGAAGGTAATGGGGGGGGCACCCAGTGGGGGGCAGGAGGGGGCGGGGGACAGCCTCCGCCAGGCCCCCAGGGTGCCTCTCTGTGCCTCCAGCCGTTACCCCCTTCTGTGCCCTCCCCAGCCTGGGAGGGGGACCGGGTCTGGGACAGCCGTGCGACTGGAGCGTTCACCTGGGCGCTCAGGCCAGGTCAGGGGGTAAAAGCCCACGGAATGTTTTATGCTTAAAAACATTCTCCCGTTAATTCCCAGGATTTTAAAACTCGTGAGGCTTCCCATAAATTTCAGATACGGTCTTCTGATCTTTTTATAACGGGAAGACCGGCAACACGGGCCTCCCTTCCTGCAGGATAGCAGGTGGCAGTGGACGGGCTGAGTCCTGCTGTCGCCTGAGGGGAGCAGATGCCCCCGGCCCTGGGCCCCTTCTCCTGTCCGCTCTGGCCCGGGCAGCTGTGTCTGCAGACTCCACGCCGGGCGCGGGATGGGGGCAGAGAGGGGGAGTGCGTGTGCCCACCCGCCCTGTCCTTCCCCCAGGCCTTGAAGGACCTGAAGGGCCGGACGGAAGCCGTCCCGTGTGTGGTGGGGGACGAAGAGGTGTGGACCTCGGACGTGCGGTACCAGGTGTCGGTGAGTCTGGTGGGTGGGCGGGGCGGGGGGGAACGGCGTCTCCCCGAGTCTGGGGTCCGTCCCTCAGGGAGCAGACAGGCTCATAGCACAGGGTCGCTGCCTCCAAAGCCAGGTTTTGAATTCCGTGCACCGACGGCACACCTCCCAAAAGTCATCTTGGCAGTATCGTCATAAAATGTGCCAACGTCACGCCCGCCAGGGGGCAGTGTCAACAGTGGCTGCCACACGCTTCACCGTCTCTTTAGAAAAGTCGACCACCCACAGAGTAGGAAGGACAGGACTGAGGTGGTCCTTCCAGAGAAGGGACCGTCACCGCAGCCCCAGCCTCTGTTTTAGAACCCGCTGCCCTGGCGGAAGATGAGCTCGTCTGAGGTATGCACCCAGGGGCCTAGCCAGGTGTCGCCTCCTCCGAGAACCCCTCCTGCTGGAGCCAGGCTCCTTCCAGAGACACATCGGAGAGGCCCTGTCGCGTCTGCACATGCCTCTCTTTCAGGCCTTGCCCCCTGCTTTTGAAGTGGGAGGAGCAGGCAGTTAGCCGCCCATTTTACAGATCAAGGAACAAGCTCAGAGATTAGATGAGCCGCCTCGGGGGCCCAGCTAGGTAAGGAACAGGTTCTCCGGAATTATGTCCCCTTGACTTTGCTTCCGGCAGATTTATTCATACCCTGTTTCTTTCTTTCTTTTTTTTTTAAACGTTTATTTACTTTTGAGGTGGGGGGGAGGGAGCACGAGTGGGGGAGGAGCAGAGAGAGGGGGACAGAGGATCTGAAGCAGGCTCTGTGCTGACAGCCGCGGGCCAGATGCGGGCTCGAACTCACGAGCCTTGAGATCATGACCTGAGCCAACGTCAGGCACTCAGCCGATGCCACCCGGGCGCCCCCACACCCTCTTTCTAGAGAAGATTTGGAAGCCGTGTACTGACTCACACGCAGACAGTGCGGTCGGAGAATCTTGCTGGGACCCCCTGGTCATGGCGCTCGAGTGCGGGGGCAGTCCACACGTGCCTGACGCCTCCTGGTGACCACGGGAGGAGAACGTCACTCACGCTCATCAGGGTGTTGTTGGAGTGAGTTCTGCCTGCATGGTGGGGGGTGCACAGCCATTCCTGACGTGGGGCCGGAGAGAAACTTCTCCTGAGGGTGGCAGAAGGACTCGGTGACGTGGCAAGCAGTGCGCCCACGGGAGTCTCCCATCTCATGCGCAGATGTTTCACGGGGCCGCGATTTTGCGCCCTGTCCCTTTGTGCGGGCCGAGGACATCCTTACGGGGATGCAGGCCCGTGTCCACTGCTGGGGGACCTTTCCCATCCGGGGCTCAGGGGGCAGCTTTGTGTCCAGACCTCACGATGGGGAGATTTTGCACACACCCACACGTCCGGCTTCCCTGGAGGGTGGGAAGATGTGGCCGCGCGAGGCTGGCATCCTGCCGGGCCCCACGGCACTGGAACGCAGCAGCGGGCTGCCCTCCGGGGGCCGTGTCCCCACCCATGCCGCCTGCACGATGCCAGCTCTCTCCACTCACCACTTTTCCGTCTCTGGCCCCAGCGGGAGGCCGCCGGCCTGCCTGAGTGCTCCCCTCGGCGGGGCTTTTGCAAGACAGGGGACAGTGATAAGGCGGCCTGACAGGTGCCAGCGGCCCGTGGTCTGTGCTGAGGGCTGAGAAGTGTCCCCTGCTCCTGTGTCCCAACCGTCAGGTCAGGGTAGGAGGGACCTGCTCTTGTGACAGTGGGGGATCTCCACCAGGATTGGAGGCTCAGAGCACTTCCCCGCGAGGGGGCCTGAGGGCGAACTCCTGGCTGTGCTCCCACCCCAGACAGAGGACCCACCTTGTTCCCTTTTTATCCCTTGTGTGGCCATGACCTTTTTCCAGAAAGCTGAGAAAGGCTTAAAACAAATGCCCACCTCAGCCATCAAGACAAAACAAGACAAAACATAACGTGTGCGCTGCACGCATGCGTGTGTGTGTGCGCACACACAGATACATGTTTTGAAACTCTGTGCACACGGCTATATGTGGAGTTTCTAGCATTGTGCTGTGCAGCCAGTTGCAAAATGAGCGCCTTGGAATATAAACAAGGTGGCTTACTCCATGGCCGAATTAGCCAGAAATCCGTTCCAGTCCTTCTTTCTAGCCGGGCATCCATCCACCCTCCTCGGGTCCAGGCCCGGGGCAGCCGGCTGTGCCCCCTCAGAGCTGCCCGGTGGACGGCAGGGTGGCACCCGGGTCTAGAAGGGAAGGGACAGGAGTTCCGGCCGGTGAGGGGCCGTGGGAGGCGCACGTCGGGGCGGGTGGTCGGCGGCCTGTCTGGAGAGGTGACCACTGAGTCGAACCCCAAGGATGAGGATGGGTGGGGGGTTCACTGCCGGGCAGAGGGGGCCTCGGACAGAGTCCCAGAGACGGGGACGGGCTCCGTGCGCCGTAGAGCAGAGAGGAAGCCAATGGGGCTGAGAGGTCTTTGGCGGTGACTTTCGGAGCTTCTCGTTGGCTGTGATTAAGGAGCCTCTGCCAGCAGGGCTGGGGAGGCCCTGGAGGGGGGCTAAGGATGGCAAGACTTTCCAGAAGAGCGCTGTGGCTTGTCGCAAGAATATGCTTTTTTATTTCGGGACAGCAGAGTGAAAAAGCAAGGGCTTGGCAGAAGGTGTGAGGCTAGACATAGACCCACGTGTGTCCGGGGCTCACAGGCCGCAGGGAGGTTGTGGCGGGAAGGCGGGTGGAGGGCTGCCCCCGTGGGGTCAGTCGCAGTTACTGTCCTAGAGCTTAGACTGGCCACAGCGCCCCTCCCTTTGAGGGGGACAGCTTCCTCGTCTAGGAAACGCAATGGCAGCAGCCCTCTGGGAAGGGGCAGGGCGCCGCCTCTCAGTGGAGCAGAGGGAAGGAGGGAGGAGCTTGGGGTTGTCAGGCTGGGCCCCTCGAGTCTTCCTGGGGCCCAGCTGCGGGCCGCCCGAGTCGCCATAAGGAGGTCCCTGCCTGTAACGAGTTCCCCTTCCTGCCCGCTTGCTGGTCATGCATCCCTGTGCCTCAGTCTTGTTGTGTGTAAAATGGGGGTAGCCATCATGCCACGTAGGGATGTTGTCGGGTATAAACAGTTGATCTGTGTCAGGTACCTAGCGCCTGCGTGCGGGAGGCTGCGTCAGTGACAGCGCCATGCCCTGTGTCTTAAGTGGAATCTGCAGCTGGTTAGTCAAAATAAAAAAGGCCACAGGGGCGGACTTGTGTACTTTTTTTTTTTTTTAATTTTTTTAATGTTTTTTATTTATTTCTAGGAGAGAGAGAGAGACAGCGTGAGCAGGGGAGGGTCAGAGAGAGAGGGAGTCACAGACTGAAACAGGCTCCAGGCTCTGAGCCGGCAGTCAGCACAGAGCCCGACGCGGGGCTCGAACCCACGAACCGCGAGATCATGACCTAAGCGAAAGTCGGACGCTTAACCGACTAAGCCACCCAGGCGCCCCTGGACTTGTGTAGTTTTAAACCTCTGGAAATCACTCACCATGAAGTCAGAGGCTTTCTCCTGACAAGCCCTGGTTCTCACGCAGCATGGTGTGGGCTTTGGGTCATGTCACACTGTGCCCGCCCATGACTGAGTCCCGGCCACAGGCAAGAAAGGTCCTGCAGAGTCCACACAGCATCTCCCATGATTCCTGATGGATTTCTCCAGAAGGGGGCTTCGGGGCTAACTGTGGACTCAGCCCCGTGATGACATTAGCCTGAGAACCCACCTGCTCGGGGTCTGTGGAGCCAGGACCTGGCGTGTACTTTGGACGGACCAAGAAGCTCCTAGATCTGTAATGCAGGGGAGAGTAAAGGGCTGGCCCTTTCACAGATGGGGTGGGTGGGGGTGGTGGAGGCATGTTCTGGCACTTTCCAGCTGGAACCCTGAGCAGGCATGTGCAGGGGTGAGGGTGGAGACCCTAGGCCCCCCGCTCTGAGGGTTCCAAGGACGGCCCTGAGCAGGAGTCACCCGTGGGAGGCATCCAGAGCCCCCACTGCTGGGAGCCCTCGGAGCTCAGCTTGGGACCGCTCAGTCCACCTGGCACCTCAGGGTCGTGCCAGGCGCCAGCCGAGAGTGGCTGAGCTGAAGTGTCAGCATGCACATGTGGCTAGTGGCTGCCACGTTAGACAGGAAAGCCCCAAACGTCCCGTTGGGCAACTGGTGGGTGGCAAAAGTGTTGATAATCGTGGTGTGAAGAAGTGAGATGTCTCCCTGCTTTCATGCTCACACTAGCACGCGGCGCTGCCGGCTTCTGGGTGTAAATATGTGTTGAAGGTCTTCCCTTTTATTTTTTTTAAAGTTTTTTTTTTTTTTTAAATGTTTTATTTATTTCTGAGAGAAATAGCATGAGCAAGGGAGAGTCAGCAAGGGAGAAACAGAATCCAAAGTAGGCTCCAGGCTCCAGGCTCTGAGCTGTCAGCACAGAGCCCAACGCAGGGCTCGAACCCACGAACTGTGAGATCATGACCTGAGCCAAAGTTGGACACTCAACTGACTGAGCCACCCAGGCGCCCTGTGTGTCTTCCCTTTCAGAAGAGCATCTCTGGGTCCCGTGCAAGGGGCTGGAGAGGCGGTCGCTCTGTCCCCTGGGCCTTGGGGGGACAGCAGAAGTCCTGAGCGATTCTCAACTCTGGCGTATTGTTTGGGGGCCCTCACGGTGGCAGCGCCCCTTCCTGAGCCACAGCCACGCGCCACGCCAGCTCTGGAAGCATTTTCACCTGTGAGCCCATTTGCCGCCCCCCCATGCTGTGAGGCAGGGGTCCCCATTTCTCACGAGGTGACCTGCAAAGGGGAACTCAGGTTACGTATGGTCCCCACCCCCCCCGCTAGTGGTGGCAGAGCCGGGATGCAAACCCATGTCTGTCTGACCACAAAGTCCACACTTTCCATGAGGCCATGCGGTCCATGCCTTTCTCGGGGACCGTGAACCTTCTGGAGTGGGGAGCCATCTCCCTCACCGAATAGCAGGTGCTCCCTAACCTGCAAGTGAGAGAGATGGATGGGTGTGGGGATGGGAGGGGAGAGAGTGAGTGTGCTCAGGGCTGTTGCCTGGAAAGGGAGCTCTGAGCCCGGTCTCACACTGCCCCCCGCATCCTGGCACCCCCCTCCCAGGCAGGGACCTTACTCTTCTCTCGTCTTTCAGCCCTTCAACCATGGACACAAGGTGGCCAAGTTCTGCTATGCAGACAAGGTGAGTCTGGGTTGGGAGCTGTACCCCACCTGTTGCCCTGCTGGCCGCTGACGTGACGTCCGTCGATGCTCCCTCTCTGGCCGTGGGGGTGGGGTCATTCACAAGGCCGGGCCCACCGGGGTTAACTCCAGAGGAGAGCTGCGTGGGCCAGGGCTGACGCCCCCTGACATGCCTGTGGCCGTGAGGCAGCCTGGCTTTGCAGGGAGAGGAGAGTCCCCAGGGCCGAGCTGGGACACTTGGAGACGCCACGGATGGGAAGCCAGATGGGCTCAGCCTCATGGAGGGCCGGCGAGACGGGCCGGGGGGCCCTGTGGTGGGGGGTCTAGGAGCCGGCGTTGGGGGGCAATGGGGGCAGTTTGCCATCAGGTATGGCAGCAGCAGGTGAACGTCTCAGGCTGGGGCTCTGGCCGAGCAAGGGCAAGGCCAGGTGCCTGACCTTGAGGGCTGGAGGCTCTAGCCGGTGGGTTTGGGGGTCCCTGGAATGAGATGAGGCCCTGAGTGGGATCACAAGAGAAAGTGGAGCAGGTTTGAGAGCTGGGGGACTCGGTGCTGACCTTGCTGGGAGGTCCCCCGGACCTCCAGACGGCAGCAGGACTGGCTCCGAGCCTTGGCCTGACCAGCAGGCGATGGGACACCGCGTCTGCAGCTATGGGGGCAGGGGAGGGGCAGTACTGGGTCCTTGGGTGGAGAGTGACCTCCAGCCTCCTCCCTCGCCCATTCCCCTGGGGCCCTTCCTGTTCTAGGAGGCGGCCCCCAACCTTTTCCTCTTCACCAGGCCCTACTCAACAGAGCCATCGAGGCCGCTCTGGCTGCCAGGAGAGAGTGGGACCTGAAGCCTGTTGCAGACCGGGCCCAGATCTTCCTGAAGGCGGCAGATATGCTGAGCGGGCCTCGCAGGGCTGAGGTCCTTGCCAAGACCATGGTGGGACAGGTGCGGTGCCCGTGGGCACAGTGGGGGTGGGGCGCGGGAGGCAGTCGTTCTCTGGCTGATGCGGCGGGGACCTCAGCTGAGCAGCTTCCGGGCGCCAAGACGGGCTGCACCTGCTGGAGCCGCGTGTCCTCAAGGCCCCGCCCGGCCCTCTGCGGCCCTCGGAGTGGTCCCGCCAACACCTGAGCCGGTCACCCCAGCCTTGCACACCGCCAGCGTCTCTGCCTCACCGACAGTCACGTCCCAGGTCCTGCGCACAGCGCTCAGGGCCCCTTGTTTCCAGCCTCTGTGCAGCTCGCCGGCTGCCCTGCCCTTCCCCGCCGGGCCAGCCTTCCGGGAGGCCGCCAGCCTGGACCCTGTGGGCGTCCCGCCTCCCCGCCTCTGCCCGGCGTCCCTGCCCACTCTTCTGTGATATCACCTCCTCTGTGGGGCTTCCAGAATCTTCTCTGTCCAAAAAGAGGAGCCCCGCCTCTGCGGTGCTGTAGCACGCTGTGCGTGTATCGTTATGGCGCAGATCGCACTGGGTGTGATGAGCTCCTGTGTGGTTGTCACCCCTCTACAAGCCTTCTGGAGACAGCGGTCCCACGTTAACTGTCCTCCAACTTCCTGGGCTCCACACGGCGCCCTCCTGGACTCACAGAAGCTCCTGATAGACGTTTCTCAGTGGAGTGCACATTGAGCCAGAGCGGCGCCAGCAGCTCCAAGTTGGGAAGGGAGAGGAGGGAGAACGGGTTAATGTCACCCTCCCCAGCAGCAGGATGGTCGCTGCTGCCCAGTGCCTGTCGCTGTCCTGTGGCGAGAGCCCCCTCTGCTGCATGGAGGTGGCATGACCGCCCCTCACCTGCTAAGTGTCTGCAGGTTCTCCGCAGCTCCTGGGGACAGGTCGTGGGCTCCATCGCGTCCCAGATGAGCCACACTTGGGCAGGGAGAGGCACACGCACTCTGCCACCAGATGAAGGTGCTTTATTTGAATAAAGACTGGCGCTATAGGAAGCGTGGCAGCCTCATAGAGCCGGGACCCATGTACCGTGGATTCTGTGGCTCCAGGTCCCAAGCAGGATGGCACCTGCTGGTGACCGTATGTGCCGAGGAGGGGCTGCCCTGGTCTGGAAGAGGCCTGTTCTTGTGGCCCATGAGGCCCTCCCCAACCCCTCCAGCGTTTGCCATCAGGAGGAACAGGTGGTGTAAGGAAACGTTTGCCTCCTGCTTCTTGGTCGAAATGCCCCTGATGAGGGCACATCCTCACCCTGGGCGGGGGTGGGGGGGCAGGAGCCTCCAGCGCTGCGGGCATGACGTCACCGTGGGCACACGTCTGCTGCTGCTGACCCCCTGGCCATCCTGCACACAGGGTAAGACGGTGATCCAGGCGGAGATCGACGCGGCGGCTGAGCTCATCGACTTCTTCCGGTTCAATGCCAAGTTTGCCATGGAGCTAGAGGGTCAGCAGCCCCTCAGCGTGCCGCCCAGCACCAACAGCGTCGTGTACCGGGGGCTGGAGGTACCCACGGGTGGCGGGGTGGGCGGGGGCCTGCTGGAAGCCTGGAGCTTGGCCTCACCGCCCCCCTCCCCCTCCCCAGGGCTTTGTGGCGGCCATCTCTCCCTTTAACTTCACTGCGATTGGCGGCAACCTGGCGGGGGCGCCAGCCTTGATGGTGAGATGCGGGCAGCGGGTGGACGTGGGCCTGCTGGCTCTCCTTCCCGTCCCAGCAGATGAAAGGGGCCCAGCCCTGGTCGTGGCCAGATGCCCAGAAGGCAGAGGCGGTGGGGGCGCGTGGAAAGGCTTTGGGACCAGAGACGGCTTTGGATCCCAGCTTTGCCCCGCTCCAGGGGGACCCCAGCCCAGGCCCCTGAGCTGCTCTGAGGCGGCTTCCTCCTCCTCCAAGTGGAGATCTAGGAAAGCCCGCGTTACAGGGTTGTGGGGAGCGAGCGAAGCCATGTGCGGGGCACGTCCAGCCCGGTGTGGGCTCTGTACGTGGAGAACGTTGGTGGTGATGATGCGTCACTTTTGAGCACCTACTGTGTACTCTCTGGTTTATCTGTCAGATCTAGGAAATGGTGACAAAGACGAGGACTCCAAGTCCCTGGCTTCCCTGCCCTTGTCAGGGCGGAGGTGGCTGTCACCCTTGTGAGCTCCTGCTAATTGGGGGTGACAGAGCCCTGCCCTCAGAGGGCCCTGGCGGCTCGAGGGAGGGCTGATGCTGGCGGGGCCCGGGCCCGCGGGGGGCGGCTGGCTCATCTCGAGGACGGTCCTGCCCCGGGCTGCCCTTGCGCTTCCGCCCACAGACAGACACGCACACGCCCAGGCGCCCACGTGTCATCACTCAGGACACGTGCAGAGGTAGCCCTGTGAGTGCTTGCCCGGCCGCGCCCAGTGAGCGCCCAGCGTCATGGAAACACCCACAACAGACCTGCCTGAGGGGCACTGGCGGGACCCGTCGGCACAGGCTTCCCAAGGAAGGCGGCCTTGGCCAGGGCGTGGGGGCGGGGCAGGTGTGGCCTGCCCCGGGGCCTGGCCGCTCCAGGGGAGGGGTGGCTGTGCTTTGGGACAGGGTGGGAGGCAAGGCTGGTGACCCCTGGGCTTGAGTCATCACCATGTCTCCCGGGCAGGGCAACGTGGTCCTGTGGAAGCCCAGTGACACGGCCATGCTGGCCAGCTATGCTGTCTACCGCATCCTCCGGGAGGCTGGCCTGCCCCCCAATGTCATCCAGTTTGTGCCGGCCGATGGGCCCACCTTTGGGGACACTGTCACCAGCTCAGAGCACCTCTGTGGCATCAACTTCACAGGCAGCGTGCCGTAAGTCCCTGAGGTGGGGCGGGCCGGGTGGCATGGGGACGTTTGCCAGGCCACTGCCGCATAACCTCAGTGCAGGAGCTGGAGGCCGGGCACTGACTACACCCACTTGCTGTGTGGCCACAGGTGGCCCACTTCACCTCTCTGAGCCTCCATTTCTTGACCTGCTCAACAGGAATGATGGTCCCTACCTTGCAGAATAATTGCGAGGGTCCCATGAGTTAGCAAAGAGGAGGAGCTTCACAGGCTGGATGCAGCCTACAGATGTTTGGTGACACCGAGTTTGATGCCACTGCTGTCACTGGAAGGGGCGCAGGGAGCTTGGAATGAATTGGAGGAGAGTCAGGAAGCCTTCTTGGAGGAGGTGGTATCTAAGCAGAGGGCATGGCTGAGCAGAGAGGAGGAAGGGAGAGATTGTAGGAGAGCAAACAGTACATGCAGGGCCTCCAGGCTAGAGCTCCGTGCCTTGGCGGCGTCCCCTGAGGCTTGGAGTGTGGAGTTCCGCGGCCAAGGTAAAAGAGCGTGGACAGGAAACAGTTGGATCGTGACTGCCCTCACTCGGTGAGCAGGCGTACGCCAGCAAACATGTGGATGCATATGTCCTGCCCTTTTGGGGGGTTTAGTCCCATGACTATAGGGCTCTGTGAGCCTGCCGGGGTGTCTGGACTTCATCCCGAAGGTGACGGGAGCCATGGAAGGTTTTATGCATGGGGCGTGGATTAAGCAGTTTTGTTTCAAGCAGAGATTACAAACTCCATTCGGCCCCGGGAAATGGCTCTGTTTTCTTTGATTCCTTATTGAGCTGGACCAAGCCTGTACTGTTGAGGCAGTTTGCTGCAAAAATCTGTTTGAGATCTCAAACTTCTTTTGAACGCCTGACCCCTCCGGGCCTGCGTGTCCCGCATGGTGCGCCCTAGCCGGAGGTGGGGTTGGGGTGCTCTGTGATCCCCTCACCAGGCCCTGGGTCTCCGCATCCTTGGTGTTCCGTTCCCAGCCTGGCCCTGCGGGACCTCTATGTTTGTAGCCTCCATCCTACATGACCGCCCTGGCTGCTGTCCAGTGCCCGGAGGCGGGAGGCCAGGGGGGAGGCTGTGCATGACCAGAGCAGAGACGGTGGGAATGGATTCCAGAGAGCAAGCAGCAGGGAGATGCGATTACTCGTCCAGGGGGTCAGATCAGTGGAGGAGGGGTGCGGGAGGGACCGTCCAGCCTCTGGCAGAGGGACCCAGAGGGCACCAAGGTGCGCCCTGGCCGGAGGTGGAGGCCCGTGGAGGGCTTGGGTGAAAGTGACGAATCCCATGCTGGCCACTTTGGGGTGCCCGGGGGTCATCTGAGCAGAGATGTCGGGGTCTGCACTGGGGGCCCTTCCGGCTGTCCCCAGGGACACCTGCGGTGGCTTCCAGTCTCCCTTCCCCACCCTCAGGCTCCCCTACCCGCCCCCCCCGCCCCCCCCCTCGTTCCTGCTAGGGTTTGCCGGGTGTGATGGCGGCGTTAGAATTGCTGAGGAGGACCGTTTTCCAAAAAGCCCCACTGTGCCTGTGCAGGCCCTACGGGTCCCTGCCTATTAGCGGGCGGAGCGGGCCTGGCCCCCATTTGCCATGCTCTGATGAGCAGCGGGCTTAAAGGTAGGAAAGTCATAAATTAGTATTAGCTACTGTGTCGCAGGCTCCCCGGTGATTAGCATTTTTATTGTTTCGTGGTGCTGAGGTTGGTCACACTTGGATCTTGGGGAGGAGGTAGGGGCCCGAGCTCCCTCTCTCCCGGGACCCTCTGTGGTTGGTTTGGCCTCTGGAGCCTGGGCGCTAGGCGGGGGGCACCCCTCCCAGACCATGGCGGCGTCGGTCCCCCCTCCAGGTACCCGCGGCGTGGCTGGCCCTGACCTGAGCCCTTGGCTCGCACCGGAGCTGTCACAGAAGAGCTCAGCCGGGCGGGGTTCGCTCCAGTGCCCGCATGAGGTGCCCAGTTTGAGGCTCAGAGAGGTTGAGTCAGGAGCGCAAGGTCACGTGGCTGTGAATGTCTGGGGCAGGGCCCCCCGGCCTTCTCTGTGTCTTGCTACCAGGCCTGCCCTCGCCGCCTCCCCATGGGCCCTGAACATCACCTGTCTCCAGCTGCCCCCACATACTCAGTCCCCACCCCCCTCGCGGGGACCCCCGCCCCCACCCGCTAGGCTGTTGGGCCCCTTCTTGTGATGGTGCCTGCCCCCGACCCCCAGGGCCCTTGCCGCCTCGGGCACCTCAGCCTGCCTTCCTCATCCTTGCGCTCCCCTCTGGTTTCAGCACCTTCAAACACCTGTGGAAGCAGGTGGCCCAGAACCTGGACCGGTTCCGCACCTTCCCACGCCTGGCCGGAGGTAAGGGCCCCCCTCCCGGCGCCTTCGCCTGGGGTCCCAGGGACAGGGCAGAGTGGGGGCTGGTGGCTCAGCATTCTCGCTCCTGAGCGGGTCCGAGCTCCGATGGGGGGGCAGCCGGGGAAGGCGCACCATCAGCCCGCTGTGTCACCTGCACCCCAGTCCACCCGTTATAAGGCGGGGGAGCAGCGAGCTGTCTGTGGTTTTCTGTTCTCTGCTTCCTTCCCACTGTGCCCTCAGGGAGAGAGACCGCTGTTTGCTCTACCGCGTCCAGGCCTTGAGGCTGCTTCTCTCTCTGCTTCGGTTTTCTTTTTTTTTAATGGTTTTTTATCTAAGTGATCTCTGTGCCCGGCACAAGGCTGGAACCTAGGACCCAGAGATCCAGAGCCTCAGGCTCTGTTGACTGAGCCAGCCGGGTGCCTCTGCAGTTTTCCTGTCTTTAAAATGGGAATGATCCGGGGTGCCTGGGTGGCTTAGTCGGTTAAGCGTCCGACTTTCGCTTAGGTCATGATCTCATGGTTCATGGGTTCGAGCCCCGCGTCGGGCTCTGTGCTGACTGCCAGCTCAGAGCCTGGAGCCTCTTTCAGAGTCTGTATCTCCCTCTCTCTCTGATCCTCCCCTGCTCATGCTGTCTCTCTCTGTCTCCTAGAAATAAATAAAAATATTAAAAAAAAAAAAATGGGAATGACCTGGGAGGCTGTTGTGAGGCTTTAGTAAGACAAAGCAGGAAGTGCTAGGAGCAGGGCCCAGAAGGTGGTCAGTGCCCTGTGACCGGGGCGGCTGTTAGCTGGTGTGGGAGGGAACCAGGGCCTGGAGGCTGGGGAAGGGTTTCGCCGCCCTGGGTAGCGAAGAGGAGCCAGCCCTTGGGCCGAAGTGGAGCCGACCCCTCCTCTCCTCCCACTGGGTTGGGGGTTGGGAAGGTACGAACAAAGCTGTGCCCACTTCTGGGAGGGGTTGGCTCCTGGGAGCCTGGGCATCTGGTCCTTTTTCTGCCTTGATGGTGGGCGGCACCCCTGCCCCAGCCTCAGTGTCCTCAGCCGTAGAGCGGGACAGGGGCCTGGCCCGCTGGCTTCTGGGATGACACAGCCCGAGCCCATCCGCCAGCTTGGGCTGGGCGCACCTGTGCACAAGTGCAGGCACCACGGTGGGTGTCCTGCTGGCCGGGAGGCCTGCGCCCCACCCGCGCCCCCTCCCCCCGCAGAATGTGGTGGGAAGAACTTCCACTTTGTGCACCGCTCGGCCGACGTGGACAGCGTGGTGAGCGGGACCCTGCGCTCGGCCTTCGAGTATGGCGGCCAGAAGTGCTCGGCCTGCTCCCGCCTCTACGTGCCTCAGTCGCTGTGGCCGCAGATCAAAGGGCGGCTGCTGGAGGAGCACGGCAGGATCAAAGTGGGCAACGTGAGTGGCGCTGCACCCCTGCCGCGGCCCAGTGGGTGGCTGATGGGATTGGAGGCTCTGCGGGGTGGGCCGGGATGCGCGGGGAGGGGGCTCCCTTTGTCTCCTGCCCACAGCCACTTGGTGACTCTCTCTTCTGGTGCCTCCCTTGCCTCCAGCCAGCCGAGGATTTTGGGACCTTCTTCTCTGCAGTGATCGATGCCAAGGTACTGGCCCGGAGCAGGCATTCGCGGGGGGCTGAGCCCTGGCCTGGGTGGGAGAGGGAGGAGGAGGCGTGGGGGCCTTGACTGGGGCGACCCAGCCCCGCTGCTTCAGGCAAGGCACACGGTCCAACAGCCTCACAGACACCCCCGCCCCGAGCTTGGAAAAGGCGGAAACTCCATGATGGGAAATCTCACTTCCCGCACATCCTGCACCCCGGCTCGACGGGGGCCCCCCCCAGTTCAGATTCACACGCACCCAGAGGGGCCTGCATGTCTGCAGCATGAGCCCAAACACACGTGCTCATGTACATGCACATCCACGAGCACGTTCATGATCTTGGTGTGCAGACGTGCAAGTCACCCGCATCAATACCCATGTCCACGTGCACGTAGGCGCACACGTTATCTCCAACAGAAACATGCACCTTGTGTGCACGCATGCACCTTCATGTCTGTGTTCACACGTATGTAGGTGCATGTCACTCTGTCCATGAACATACATGTAACAGGCATGTATATACGCATATATTTAAACGTGAAGACACGTGACCACACATAGATGTGTGTGTACATTACTGTGCATGTTGTGTTTCTGTAAGCGTAGTTGTGGTTCTGCCACACGCGTGTTCACACACTCTCTCACACGAGTGTGCACGTCTGCCCTCGTCTCTGCTGCGGCTCAGCCAGGTCCTGGCTCTTGCCCTCTTGCTGTCTCCCGCCTCCAGCTTCAGGATTTGGGCCCTCCGGGGTGTGTTGGGGATGCTGCTGCTCGCTGTCACCTCCCGGCTGGCCTGTGACACCCCCTCCCCCCTCCCCAGTCCTTCGGCCGCATCAAGAAGTGGCTGGAGCATGCCCGCTGCTCACCCAGCCTCACTGTCCTGGCCGGGGGCAAGTGCGACGACTCCGTGGGCTACTTCGTGGAGCCCTGCATTGTGGAGAGCAAGGACCCACAGGAGCCCATCATGAAGGAGGTGACTGGGGTGTAGAGCACAGTGCACGCGGGGCCCTTGCACGTGGGTGTCTTCTCGCGGTATGGTCCCATTTCGCAGACAGGAGTGTGAGGTAGGTCCTGGAAAGGGAGTGTCTCACTCCCAGAGAGAGCAGGGCCCGGCCTTGAGCTCAGGCCCACCGACCCCAAACCCAGCGCCCTGTCCTTGCCACTGCTGACCCTGGTGGTGTCGCAGCACTTCCGCCATTCGCAGCTACTGTCACGACCTTACAGCGGACATTTACAGACTCTTCACTCTGGGCACCTGTCTGATGGGAAGGGGGTATTATCATTCCCATTTACAGATGACTAACTGAGGCTCGGAAGTCAGGGCACCTGCCCAGGGTGGCCGTGCAGGGGTGGTAGTGGGGCCAGTGGTGGCTGGCAAGGAGGGCTGGCGACTTTGGTCCTTTGCCAGGTCAGGGAGGGGTGGGGCGGGCATGGCGGGAACGGGGCACAGGAGACGCCAGGCTCTTCTTGCAGGTGTGGAACTGTGGGCCGAGCCCCGGGGCCTGGGGAGAGGCAGGGGGATGGGGAGGCCTGGGGGCTCTGGTCCGGGTGGGGGGCCTGACCCTGGGGCTTCCGTCGCAGGAGATCTTCGGGCCTGTGCTGACCGTGTACGTCTACCCCGACGACAAGTACAAGGAGACGCTGAGGCTGGTCGACAGCACTACCAGCTACGGCCTCACGGGGGCAGTGTTCGCCCAGGATAAGTGAGCGGCCACTGCCTTTCTGCTCTTGTCCAGCCGTCCTGCCCCAGCCTGCCCAACTCGCGCCCCCCCCTCCCCTCAGTCCTGACAGGCCTCCCGAGCAGGGGTGCACAGAGCGAATAGGGGTGCACAGAGCACAGCCAGGCTCTTTTTTGAAATGTAGATTCTGGGGTCCCATTGGGGGCATGGCTGGGGAATCCGTGCTCTTGACGAGCTCCCCGGGGTCTGATGGGGCCCCGCTGAGAAGGCCCCCACCCCATGCTGCAGGCAGGAGAACTGGGCCCAGGGGCCAGGGGCCAAGAGGCTAAGTCTGGGACTTGGCTTTTCCTTCCTCTGGGGCACTAGCCGCCGCCCTGTCTGTGTCTAAGAGCGTGGAATTGGGATTGGAAGCTGGGGGCAGGGTGGTCGTCTCGGGGTTCCCCCAGCTCCCGCGGGGGCAGGAAAACTGGACCGGGATGGGCCACTCGCCTACAGCCTGACTCTCCTGTCCAGCTCTTGCAGCAGCCCCGTGAGGGAGGCGTGCTAACCACCTTCCAGAAGACAAGGAGCATCAGGCGCTCTAAGATGCTGCCCAAGGGCCCTCAGCTAGTGGCCGGCCCGCGTCATAGGCCTGGGGCTGCGGCTGGGCAGCCAGTGGGGGCTGGGCTGCGTGGAGGAGGAGGTCAGACCCCGGGCTGGTGGAGGGTGAGCCGGCTGCTCCCTCATCACTGCCCTGCCTTGTAGGGATGTTGTCCAGGAGGCCACAGCGATGCTGAGGAACGCCGCCGGCAACTTCTACATCAACGACAAGTCCACAGGCTCGGTGGTGGGCCAGCAGCCCTTTGGGGGCGCCCGAGCCTCCGGTGAGTGGGTCCGCCTTTCCAGAGGGGAGGCGAGCTCCTGGCGGGAGGCCAGCGTAATGGGAAAACATTGTGGGCCAGGTGCTGGGTTGTCTTCTTCCCATTTTACAGAGGAGTAACCTGAAGCACGGGGAGGGGTAGTGACTTGTTCAAGGGCACGTGATCGGGGGGGGGGTTCCAGCACCCACACCTTTTAACACCATACTCAGGTCACTTCAGTGTCGTCCCTCGTGTTTACGGTTGGGGAAACTGAGACTCAGAGCCGGGTGGTGACTTGCCCTAGGCCCCGTCTGCCTTGTGGCAGAGCCAAGGCCAGAGCCCAGGGCTGCTGGCCCCCAGGGCAGTGCTCTCTCCACAGCGCTGCCAGGCCCTCCTCGCAGGTGGGCACGCAGACCCGGGGAGGCCGGCGTGCTGTGCTCACCGGTCCCTGCCTGCCCTGCCCTCGGGCTCGTGGGCTGCATGGATGCGCTCCAGAAACCTCGGCCTTGCGAGCACGTTTAGTTTTAGTTCAGCTGCTTGTAGCCTGTGCTGGTGCCCCGGTTATTCCGTCAACTCTTCCCGCCCCGCCCTTTCCCTTCTGCCCGGAGCTGCTGTGTCTTTTCGGAGAAAAATGGCGCTGTCTTTTCCACAGGAACCAATGACAAGCCGGGAGGGCCCCACTATGTCCTGCGGTGGACGTCGCCCCAGGTCATCAAGGAGACCCACGAGCCTCTGGGGGATTGGCGCTACGCGTACATGCAGTGAGCCCCGCTGGGCGCTGCCGCGCCCACCTGTCCGCCCAGGTGGCCCATCTCAGTGCACACCGGCCCCACTGCAGCCCCCTCAGCTCACTCCCCCGTGGCACGGCCCCCTTCCCAGGGCCACCACCCGCCCCCCGGCCCCACTCTAGCCCGTATCCTGGCCTGTCCATGCCCGGGGCGGGTGCAGGCTCTAGTTGGAGACCATGCTGGGGAGGAACAGGGCCACCACCCCGTCGCATCGGCTGTGCGACAGCTTCTAGCTGGTCGGCCTGACCCAGGGCCCTGCTGGTTCTCTGCCTCCCTTTCCCGGCCCGCTGCCTCGGGGACCTGGGCAGTGGCCGTAGAGCAGCTCCCGGGACCCCTGGGGGGAAAAGGAGGCATCCTGGCCTTGGCCTTGGCTCCTCCAGGCCTCTAGGACTAGGTGTGACCCGGGGTGGCCTGCAGGGCACAGAGGGCACCAGCTGGCCTTGCCCCCTTGGGCTGCCCACCTCCTCACTAGCTGTTTGCACAGGCCCGCGCTGGCCGGCGGCTACTTCCGCCTGACCGTACGCCTTAGACACCCGTGTGCCTTTCGCCAGGGTCCCTGGGTTCCTCGGAGGCCCACACGACTCCTGGCAGCCTCCACATGGGGGGGCTGGGGGGAAGGGGTGCTGGCAGAGGTCCCTGCCGAGGTGTGGGGTTTGGGGGTCCTTCCCGTTTAGGCAGAGGTCTGGGGGAAGCCTTGGGGGGTACCTTTGTGCAGTCTTTGCTTCCTTCAGCTCTCAGCCCCGCCTCCTGGCGACGGCCGTGCTCCCCACCCACGTGGGCCCGGGGTCCCCCCTCAGGAGGTCGATCTCCACAGGCCCAGGGAGGCCTTGCTCCCACCTTCTCCTGACCCGAGCCCTGGCCTTGACCCGAGCCCTGGGCTGAGGGTTGCCCGCTGAACCTTCCCTCCCTTGCACAGAGGTGGCTCGGTGTGGCCTGTTGCAGCCAGTTGGTGGACACTTAAACCTGCTCATTGGATCGCAGGTGGCCGGGGATTGACAAGGGTTGATTCAGGGGGCCCTAAGAGTGCTGGCCCTCCGCCAAGGACAGCCGGCTGGGGCCCCCCATGTCACTGGCCCCGAAGCACGTGGCTCTACACTAGCCCACGGTCGGTGGTGATGCCACGCGGGCCTCCTTCCTTGTGGCTGCTTCCTTCCAAGTCTGCACTGTTCCCCAGGCCAGGCTGCGGGGGAGACGTGCTGGAGCTGCTCCCGGGCCACTGATTCTGCACCGTGGGGGACAGGAGAGCCGTTCCGCTGCCACCCAATAAACGCTTATTACTTAATCAAACGTGGGTTCTTCCGGTGGGGGTGGGGGGGCCAACTTCACCGAAGGCTGACAGTGTTGCCTGTACGTCCTTCACGTCAGGAGTGCAGGGCCCTCGTGGGACGGGAGGGAAGGCGGGCGCTGGTGTTTGGGGATATGTGCTGGAGGCACGGTTGCTCCGGGGTCAGGCAAACCTGGGGTCAAATCACAGCTCTCGGCCTCAGGGCCGCTGATCTTCAAAAAGTTACGCAAAACCTGCCTGATCTGCCTCTTCACGTGTAAGGTGGGGATGATAGCACAGCCGCACACACAGAATATGATGCGCTAGTTCATATCAGCGCATAGAACAACGCCAGACACGGAATTAATTGTCCAACCGCACTCACCTTTTATACGGTGCTGTAATGGCCACTGTTAACTGTGCTGTGATGGTTAAGTTTATGTGTCATCTTGACCTGGGCTTTGGTATTTAGTTAAACGTTATTCTGGATGTGTCTGTGCTTGTGGTTTTTGGGTAACTTTGACATTTAGATTGGGGACTCCGGGTAGAGCTGATTATTCTCCATTTCTCCATAATGGGGTGGGCCTCGTCCAATCAGTCGAAGGCCTTAATAGAACACAGACTGACCTCCCTCAAGCTAGAAGGAATGCAGCGGGTAGGCAGCCTTTGGACTCGGCTGTGACTCTGCCCTGGGTCTGCTGCTCTGCGGAGTTCTCCCCGCAAGCCTCCCGGAGTGTGGAGCAGTGTCCGTGCGCCGTCTCTCTGTGTGCCGTTCTGCATCTCTGGAGACCTCTGTGCATTTCCTCACTCCCAATAGCCTGAAGCACAGGCTGTGTGCGCCCATTTTGCAGAGAGGAAACCAGTGGAGGGACTCAGCTGTGGACGCAGCGCAGCACGGGGATGTAAAGCCAAGCCTGTCTGATTCCCAAGCCTGTTCCCTGTCCTCACTCCCAGGTGCCCATACGTGGCACCGACGTGCCCTGGAGAGACCCTGGCTGGCCACGTGATGAGAGCACCACGGCCAGTTTGCGTGAGCCCAGAATCTGTGGGTCCGAGTCCACAGGGGCCACAGCGGACTTGGAGGGGTGGCTGTGTGTCTGTCTGTCTCCAGCCAAAGGATGCAAAAGGAACCTGCTGCCGGCCACGCCCGCCCTCCCCGTCCCGGGGCCTGTTGCTCGGGGCTGTTGGCGCGCGGGGTCACGGGCCTGTGGGGAGGGGATGGAGACTCTGACCTTGGCGGGAGCCCCGCCCAGCTCACCCAGGGGCTATCAGTGGTTTGTGCCAGAGAGGGCTTCGCTCAGGGACAGAGTGCAGCCCGGAGGCCTGGGCCGGGCGCACAGGAGGGAAAGGAGTGGCTGCACTTTACGGTCAGGGACCTGGAGGCCTGTTACTGGTTTTGAGCAAATGGAGTGACTTGCTCAAGGTCACACAATGAGACCCCAGCCTCATCCAGCCTGACAGTGGCCTTGCTGGGTAACGGTTCTCTGCCTTCTGTGGAAGGGCCGGTTCGGAGGAGCCTTCTGGGGCTCGAAGGCAGGTGTGGCGCCCACAGCCCGTGCTCCTGCCACTGTTCGTCTCAGGCCCCCGACTCCCAGCTGGTGCTCTTCCACTGCCCTCCCCCACCCGTTTAACTATAGGGCATCGGGGGGTCCAAAGCCGCCGCCTTCGTGCCCCAGCCGTGGGGCTGGTGGCTCCCGCGGCCCCAGGGCCCGCCCTTCGCACGGCCGCCGGCAGCAAGTGCCCGTGTCCTCCGTGGCCCAAAGAGCCTCTTCATTTCCCTGCTGTGGTTGGGGCCCCAGCCACAAGTCCGGGCTCAGAGCGTGAACCATTTGCCTGAGGCCGGATGTCCCCGCCACCGCTGTCCCCGCGGGCTGCCAGTCAGGCATAGACTCTAGGGAAATGAAGGGCCACCTGTGCCGGCTCCTGGCCTCCGGGCCGACCCGGGGCTCCTGGAGGGCTCGAGAGGAGGCAGGGTGAGACCCACCGTCTTCACAGACATGCACCTGCCTTTTCACTAATTCGCCGCTACACACGTTGCCACGGTCCCCACGTGGGGTCTGTCGGGGGCCAACACTGGAATGAGCAGGAGCCACGTTGCGGGGGGCGGCCTGCGTGCCCAGCACTGTGCTAGATCCTCACCGCAACCCCCGCAGGCACTCCTGTTACTCCTGTTTTACAGATGGGGAGACTGAGGCACGGGTGGGTGCAGTAACTACTAAAACGGCGGGAGATGAACCCCATCTCTGCCTGCCAGGCCTTTGCTCATGAGCACTGCTACGGTGCCCTGGGGCACAACCCTGGTGTCAGGCGGACCTGCCTCAAGTCTCATCTTAGCCCCCCTTGCCTGTGCCTTGGAGCCTCCCCCTGACCCCAACCCTGGACGTGATGTTTCTCAGGGAGCTGAGGACCCAGCGACCTGTGTCAGGTCCTGTGCTCAGTGAAATGAGAACTTGTTCTTTGCTTTCTTTTTTCTGTTTTAATTTTTAAAAAATGCTTATTTCTTTTTGAGAGAGAAGGAGAGAGAGCATGAGCAGGGGAGGAGCAGAGAGAGGGGGACAGAGGATCTGAAGCTCCCAGGCTCCATGCTGACAGCAGAGAGTCTGATGCGGGGCTCGAACTCACAAGCTGTGAGATCATGACCTGAGCTGAAGTCAGACGCTCAACCAGAGGAGCCACCCAGGCGCCCCAGAGACCTTATTTTCAGCTGCTTCCTCACACCTTCACCCTAGATCCCTGTGCCCAGGAAGGAGGAAAAGCCGGGCATCACTGACCCCTTGTTTCTGGGCCCCCTTCTCCCAGTAGGTACTTTGGATCATACCAGCCTGCGAGGGAGGCAGGATTATTTTAGCCCCATTTCGCAGATGAGGAAACTGAGGCCCAGGGAAAGAAGGCCTGATCAGTAAGGGGCAGGGACAGAACTTTTCCTGGGGGCCGTGCCAGCACCCCCTCTGCCCTGCTCCCTTGCAGGAACCCAGCAGCTTCTGGATGGGAGCCGTACAGCCAGCGGGCAGGATGGGGTGCACCTGTCACCGGGGCTCCAAACACAAGCAGCCACAGTCTCGACTCTCGGGTTGTCGGCAGCCACTCTGAATGGTGGATCAGGTGCCGCACGACCCTCGGGTGCCCAAGGAACATCACACTTCTGCTCAGGGACTCCCCTGTGTCCTCCGGGGCCCCATGTCCAGGCAGTCGCCCTCAGCCCCTGGAGCATTCGGCCCACAGGGGCCAGGGCAGATCTGGGGAGCCGACTCTCCAGACCCCATGACATGCATCTGGGCAGGCGTCAAGAGCCGAGCGGGGCTCAGGGAGGGCCGTGCCTGGGAGAGGTCACACGCCAGCGAGTGGCAGAGCCGGGATTGGAACCCAGCTTGGGCGGATCTGAGCCTTAGAAAGAAGAGTCGTACAGAGTCATGGACCCCAGCCTTCTCTTGGGATCAAGATCGAGAGAGCCACACCAGGATCAAAGCCGTGGACACTAGCATAGAATATTTGTTAGCACCCACTGAGCACATTCTTGGTGCATCCGTCTCATTTACTCGCTCTCGCTGGGGGTGGTGGCTTTGGCCACTTTCTAGGTGAGGACGCAGAGAGGACCCAGAGCCTGCTGTGTGGCCCCCGGCCACTGGGCTGAGCCCTGAGGGCCCAGCAACAGAACCACCTCGCTCCCCACCCACCCCCCCGTTCCTTCACCTGCCCCCTGTGGGACACCGTTGGTGGTTCTTCACCCCTGCCGTGGCCTCCTGCGGGGTGGGCCTGTCCACTTCACTTTTGATGTTTAAACTGCTCTCAGTGGATGACGGATGAGGCTGGGGTCTCTGGAAATGGGCCCTGAGGCCTCCCCAGTGACCTTCCTTCGAGGGGTCTCTGAGCCAGGCTGGCTGGGGTCACCTGGCTGCCAGACCTTCTCCCCAAAGGAGGTCCTGCCCACTCACCCCTGGCCCCACCGTAAGCCGGACCAGAGCCAGGTTTCCAGCTGCCCAGTTTGGTCCAGGGGGGAGGCAGCACAGGCCGGAAAGAAAGACTGGACCTGGGCAGGGGGGTGCAGAGCAGCAGTGGAAGGAAGTGCAAGTCAGTGGACAATGGGAGGGTTGGGTGGGGGAGAGGAGCTGATGCAGTCCCAGTCCCTGGGGCGAGGCCTCCTTGGGGGTGCCCCCTGCGCTCCACCCCCCCCCCACAACCACCTTGGCAAGGGGAGGAGGGAGGTGCACGGCAGCCCCTTCCAGCCCGAAGCAAATGTGGCTGCTTCCTGCCCGTGGGAGGCAGATGTAAGGCAAATTCACAGCCCGTCCTGACCCGTTTCCTTGTCCCCTCTCCCCCGCATACTTTGCATAAGCCTGTCGTGGCTCTCCATGGCCTCGGCCGCCCGTGGCCACGCAGATGGGAACACGGCGACACGGGGCCCGGACTGGGCCACCAGGGTGACGGCTGTGTCAGGCCCGGGGCGCCCTGGGGCACGTGCCCTGTGCACAGCCCTGATCGAGAACCACGGGGCTGCGGGGTTCCCGGGTGCTTGTCCTCAGAGCGGCCTGCACCCCAGCTTCATCCACCTGCCCCTCTCAGGTGAGGTCCAGGCCGGGGGGCTGTGGAGAGGGTCCCGTCTGGGGCACCGAAGCCCAGCCCGTGGAGGAGCCTCATGGCCTGAGCCTCGCTCACCCTGGGTTTGCGTGCACGGCCGCGTTCACTGGGGGTATGTGCATCAGCGTTCAGAATTTTCATCAGAATCTCAACAGGATCTCATCCCCGAAATGTTAAGAAGCATTGATTCCATTTCATAGGTAGGGTGACCACAGCCCAGGGAATGGCAGTGACTTGCCCAAGGGGAGTGTTGGGGCACAGCTGGCCCTGACACCGAGGCTCCTGACTCCCTGTCTAGTGCTCCTTCTTCAGATTTTGGCCTTCAGGGAGATCATCCCTGTCAAGGGGGCCCCTCAGTCCCCACCACGTCTCAGAGTCCTCCAATGCACAAACTCGCTGTGTGACTTTGGAAAAGTGACTGTCCCCCTCTGAACCTCAGTCTC